GGGGTAAGATTTGTGTTTTTGCACTAGGTTAAGGGAATGTGAATTAAATACATGTACATACATGATATGCCATATTGTTTATTATATATCTCAGGTTTTCCCATATATTTTCTACTATATATGCTTGTACTTCATTACACTCTTTAAATTGTATAAGAATAACATAACTGCACTGTAAATATGTCTTAGAATAGCTACGATTTTTTTGTCGAATTGAGATGGAGACAGATTGTCTCTACACCTGCAGAAATAATTTAACATTTTATTTTGTTTTTCCTTTTAAATCACACGGCACTGAAGCTTAGTGTGAAACTGTGTCAACTGCAACAGCTGTCAACAGCACTGACATTAGCAGCTTTGGCAACCTCATTTAATCATCAGCTGTGAAAACAAACAGCAGGCGTACTGCAACAAGCCAGAGTCTCGCTGAGCTACCAGCTCTTTCCTTGTCTTTAAATGGGGTAAACTCCACTATTAAAAGAAAAACAAATATGAACTTTTATTTCAATGTAATGCCCACGTTCACAGTTGCAACCATTTTGTGCGCGTCAGTCACTTGCACAGCAAAAGGTGCAGCATTAGAATTGCAAGTTTCATTACATGTTTAGCAGAAGATTTGCACTTTACCTCAGCCCATAGAAAACCACAACCTGAAAGGGGAAGTATGTAACCGAGCTGTCAGTTAACCCTCTGCAGTCTCTGTGCACATCTGAGTGAATACCCTGTAGAATGAATTTACTGTTCTTAGAATATTTCTTCTGATATTAATCAGCATCACACAAAACAGGTCTTTTTAAAAAAAAAAATTCACATAAGTGTCAAACAGAAAAGAAAGACATAAATCAGTCAATGTTTCATATTCTAAATGCCGACAGACTGGATGTAGTGCTTTATTACTATAGTATTGTCAAAGCCATTTAAACTGAGTCCAGCCATGACCAAGATCAGAGTGTACAAAGACAGAGACAAGACCAACACTTTGAAGGGCTGAGACGAGTAAAGATAGCTGTCAGTCCCACACTGCACCACACATAGGTGCAAACCATTGAGCTGCACCACAGAAACTAGAGCCCTAAAACATTATTACATCATTACCTTATATTCAGATTAGCTTCTTCTGATGGATGTGCAGTAGTCAGGAAACTATGATGCATTCCATATAACCACAACATCCTTCTTCTGCAGCCCTGCATTCCGTACCTGCTGCTATCAAATAAGGGCAAAATGCCAATATTGTCAAAATATCCTGTAAAAAAAAAAAAAGAGAGAGAAAATAAAGGGGTCACTGACACTGACTGTACTCACAGAATGAGGACAACCTACATTGACAAGCAAACTGACTTTGACATTGAAAATCTGTGGCCACAGATGAATATATTTGGGTATCCAGTTACTACTGTGGTCAACCTGTTTTCTAGGCAACATTTTGCTCTGCTAATTCTCACGAAATGTTCAGTAATTAGATCAGGGTGTTGTTAATGTTTTTGTATGTTTTTGTACATTCCATTTTTATTATAATATATTCTGAGGGTAGCATCTCTCTCTTTATGTATGTCATTACCATTTTCAATAAAACTGTATCATGATGTTAAGGTATTATTCTCTCTGGTTCTTTTTCTGTGGCATTTTCCCCCCTTATTTGGAGCTTGCTTATCACCTATAGGCTGTTTTTCTTAGCATGACAATCAGTCAGAGAGGAACATCTACTCTAATCTTGCGACACCCAGTTCTGTGTAACGAAGCTTCATTCATAAAGATGTGCTTATCGTGATTAAAGGTAAAAACAGAGAAAGCAGATATAGGGCTCCTCAAATGCACAGTTTGTTGCATCTCATAAGAGCTTGTCACCATGCAACAGAGAATAACTTTTACAGATAAACTCTTAAGCTAACAGAAAGGAGTGATCCTGTTTCGAGGGAGGACATGTTTCATGAATTAATGCCACCAGTGTCACTGATTGACTGACATGTGACCCAATAGTGATAGTGAAATACACAAAAACTGAAATAAATACATCAGGACCTCCTTCAGGAGTGATCTTTTAAACCTCTGACATCTCATGCCAAATTATTAGAAATGTATTATTGTGCTGTGAGGAATGTCATGTCCCTGTTGTGCCACCCCCGAGAATACAACATAAACCAGGTAATCTGGTGGGAAACAAGTCTCCAGGAACCCCAAAGATTCACCACATCATCTGCAGGTAATGCAGAAACCGTTTGAGTCCAAGTGCACGTGTCTACAATCAGAACAAGACTGTACAAGCTCCATATGTTGCTAACCAACATAGGCTAAGCGTTATAAATCAAAGAGCAGACACACGTGATGCAGATCAAAGAACATTTTTGAGGACAAGAACCTTAAACCTTAACCTGAACTTTAAAACTGTGATGCATGGTGGAGGAAGTGTTATGGTTTTGGGGTTATTTTGCTGCTTCAGGGATTGGGCAACACTCAGTCACTGAGTCAACAATAAATTCTGCATTACATCAAATAGAGTCTAAAGATGATGTCAGGCCATCGATCCAACTTTTTAACAAGACAATGATCTTAAGCACAGTGTCAAATCTGCTAAGAAATGACTGAAAAGGGAGAAATGAAGGGTTACTTTAGTGGCCAGTGGTGATCAGTTTGAGGTGAAGTAGAGAAGCTGGTATGCACTCAGAGGTATATTGGCATGTGTAAGAGCTACTGTACTTTAAAGAACCAGCCTTGCATGGTACAATGTGATTTACAACAGTGGTAGGAGGAGGGACATGGAAGATACAGCCTCCTGTTGAGGTTTAAGTGCTAAAGCGCATGACTTGACATCAACACGGCGCCATTTCAGGTTTTTTTCCGCAGAGGCACCTGAAGCTGCAACATGGCTGCATGCTATTTTAGTAAGCACCAAAAAAAACAAACAAATTCTCATAAATTTGCCTTGTGTGGCCTTCAAACTGTTGAGGCGTAAACAGGTCGTGCCAGACGACCGGTATTGACGTTGCATAGTTGAATACATGCTGCAATTAAATAGTTTGGTTTAAAAATAATGCGATACAAATAAAATCGGCAATGACAAAAATACACAATAGCTAGAAGATGACTCCCACTGTGATCAATATTAGAAATGATTAGAAAAGAAGAAGAAAATGTTAAGAGAACAGATTTTCAAAAATACAGAACTAAAACAAGCAAACAAACAAAAACGGATAACATATCTAAAATGCACTACTCGATGAAAATAGCATTCGTTGAACAACGCGTTGTTGCACAATTATGACATCTGTGATAATGGTAACTAAGTGGAAAATGCTGCATTTGAGAGTAGAAAGTGAGAAACCTAACTTAATTTGAATATATATTTTCCACTGTAAAAACACAGAACCTCTACACATTAAAACCCTTTACAGAGACATGCAATGCAACGCAATACCAAACAAGACTTAAAAGGGAGGGTCTTTGAAGTGTGCACGTTACTTTCCTTTTTAATCACCTGGTTTGTTTTTCATATTCTTGGAGATCCTGTCCTTTCTCTGTAACATTAGCCTTGCTGGTGCTACTTCAGTGAAGAATGTAACTTTGTGCTTTCGTCACAGTCTTGCATACAATATAAGTTCTTTAGTGCCATCTAGTGGTTTCTTGTGCAATCAAGTGTTTTTTTCCCTCCACTGTAGGTCTACTGCATTATTGGTAATAGTCTTGCTGTGTGAGCTGTCGGTGTATCGGTTACTGTTACTTTATTTTCTCAGCATTGATATTGACTTTCTAGGTATTTTTCAAAGGGTACTGAGAAAATCCCTTTCACTGTCTTTCTCATGGTTTTAAAGCACAGTCAGACAGGCATGTCTGGGTATGAGTGAATGCTGAATTCAGTGGGTGTAGGAGACGGACGGTTGCCCAGAATCAAACATAGGTGTGATTTCACATATGGGAAATAATGTCAGATTTCTAAGAACAGTCAATGAAATAACCTTATATTAATGTGTTAAAGTCTCCCTCTTTAGTGTTTTCTATAGCAAATTAACCCCTAATAAATGGGTTGTAAGCTAGTTTTAAACAGATGTAAGGACATTTTATTACTTAAGTTATAACTTCTCTTACAAAGACTTGTTTTATATGATTACATTCTATTATTACTATATGGTCATTTATTATCTGTAATAAAGTAGCATCCACTTGAGAATGTCCACAAGGGAACTTGCAGTTATTAGTGAATAAACAATTATATCTGCTTACAACTACATCATACTATGTTATAAGTCATTTATTACATTTTTATATACTGCTTACTAGTGTTAAATAAATGCACTTAAAGTAATTTGTTACCTCTAAAGACAATACTACAGCACAGTCCTTGTTGTTTAACCAAATTCGTGAGGCAAAACAGAAGATGCAAATATGACAAGAAAGGAACACTATGCCAGCATGCATCACCTTCACACTTCACAGCTCGTGCGTGAAATGTTGATCCAAGATTGTCTGTAGAGATTGCACAGATCTATCTACTGTGGTTTCAAACAGAATTCATGCTACTGCTGTATCTAAATCTAAATAGATTTCACACCTGATAAGAACATCCTTTTAGCACATCATGTGAAAACACCGTACCCACTGTGATCGCTTGCAGATATGTAGGTGCTTCAGGTGAGTTACTTAATGAGCTGTGAGTCATGTGCAAATGTCAGTATCAAAAACAACAAAGCTTCCTTTTAATCAGCTTCTGAATTTGTTTAGTTTCCAAGACTGCAGCTGCACAGTAAAATACCTGTTATATAAACAGTCTTTAAATGCTTTCTACAAATGACAAATGCGAAAGGAAGAAATCACATATGTACATCAATGCATAATAACAGCCTTTATGGTAACTTCTCCGTGTTGTTCTAAGAACGCACAAGTGACTAATGTTAGAAGCAGATTAAGGAGGTGGGGAAACTGCATGTTCTTTGCACTGACAACAGTCATTGCACACATTGATTCATGCGCAGCAGCAGAAGCATCCGCTGGGAACAGATAAGATCAGTAACACCCCTGTTCTGGTTCCTTTTTATAGGTTATCGCACATACAGATCTTCATCAGAGTAAATACATTCACCTTGTTTTACTGTACACATCTCAGTCTTTGTATTTATCTTCTCATCTTGCTCTTCATTGTTAAATACAAAGGAGTTTCCCTAGTTGTTCTAAATATCAAATACATCACGTTAACCTTTATGCATTAAAACCACATTGTGAAGCTGTTGTGTTGCTTCTCTCACAGGTTCAAGTATGACTTAAAAAACCAAACAGGCTTTATGTAACAGTCTGAGTTTGTCCTTTACTGCAGGTTTTATTCATTTTGATTGTTTTGTTTTTTTGCTGGGTTTTTCCGTGCTTTCTGCTCATGCCGGGAATGCAGCATTGTTTCGGCTTCCACCACTCTAGGGTTATGGGAAATAATAATAGTTTCAAGACAAACTACAGTTTCATATGTGGGTGTATTTGAAAATACTTTATACGCACACATACACGGCTTTAGACAAAGTCTCAGTTATACCAGTTGTTCCTTGTACGTTTAATGGCAAAATAACAGAGGACAAAATAAATTATTTACAACACATAGTAACATGTAAACACAATCTTCTGTACAAAGAAATATACATGCAAAAGTAAAAATAAGTCATAGTAAGACATTCAAGATGACATTGCTGCAGTCTTGTTCTAGGTGTATTTAAAATGTGACAGTTATGAGGTTTACATCCTGGGTGTGGGCGAACTGCCCGACCCTCTCTGTACATGTTTACATCATGAACACGCTGGGTTTCCCAAAGGCATTCAATCACTTTGATCATATTCTGCCACGAGTAGGCTTTCAGAAAAAAATGATAAAGCAATTAACGTCATGATTTTGGGAAACCCACATCCGCACTAATAAATAAAAATGACACAAAATGAAAGACACAGACTGTACAGACGAACAAGAGTCATAAAACTCAGCATGTTATCGACTTCTGAAACGATAAATCATTTTGTCTGACGGTAACTCTGACAACCTTTGAATAAAATAATAAGAAAAAAAAAAATGCACGTTTTTAGTTTCACCCACCTCACTAGGTTGACTCACTCAACTGGCACTTAAAAAAAGAAGCTTTCAACAACTTCTTAACCTAAAGACATCAACTCATTGAAATGAAAATAACTGGCAGAGACCTCTTACATGGCAGATATCTGTTAATGCTGATGGATGTTTGTCAAGGGGGAAATATTTGAAGTGTTGGTGGTACAAGATTTGGTTGTCCCCTAACCCTAATAGCCATAATGCATTCTCTAGTGCAGCTCACTGTGACCTGGCCATAATGAGCATTTTTCCCCCCCTAAAAACCAATTGCTTGGTCAATTTGTCAACCAATTCTGTCTTATGATGTCAAACTGAGATGCTAAAAAATCTAGCAACATACACCAGTATCTACCTACAAAAGCCAAACAAACTCACACAGCAAACCACTTTGTGCACAGCTTGAAAAAAGACAAGTGAATTATTATTATTTTTTTTTAGCAATAAACCACCAAACAATTTCTTATAACAATTAGAATAAATAAAGCCACACTGAACCTTTGTAAACACTTGTATGTCTGGGCTCAGTGTGTTCTGTTATAACTTAACATGAAAAATCATAAAAAACAAAAACAAAACAAAACAAAAAAACATATTAGCAGGAAAAGAAAGCATAGCCAACTTTGGTATTGTTACAGAAAATAATAACAAGGACAAAATGAAAGCATAAGTGCCTATATTTTATAGATACACAATTTTATACATTATTTCTGAAAAACCCTCCTTTGTCTCAGGGTTTTGCAGATATTAATACTGAACTTAATACATAAGAGTTAACACAATACAGACATCTATTGCAGTACCAGGTACGTACATGCCTTTTTAAGAATACGGCTACAACACAAGTCTTCATAAATAGTTGCATAAATGTTAAAGCTGCAACATTGCACATGAGAACTGATGCAAAATACGAGTGCATTTCTAGTAGCGGTTTGTTCATAGTGGAAATCCAGCCGCTGAGGGTCTGCAGGGAGTGACTCACCTTACTGCATGGACTCACTAATACTCGGCAAATGAAATAGCTTTTGTTCGTTTGAGATAAATTCTTCAAAATGAGAAGGAAAAGCAGGAAAACATTATTTACAAATAAGGCGGATGCAGGTAGGAATCTGAGAAGCTTTGCCGAATATGCTATTTGCCGAATGGCTTTAACGCTTGTTCAAGTTAGTTTTCTTAGTGTCACAAACTGAAATTATTTAACCGTTCAAACTGAAGTGGGTGAATAAAGATAAGCTAACTATTGCACTGAGTGTAACCTTAGTGTGTTTCTGGAAAACATGGTTTTGGTAGTCACATCTTGTTCCAGAATCAGTGGACCCTGCTGATGGGCGCCACTTTAGCCACACATCTTGTTTATCTTGTGTTCTTTCTACTTACTAACTACCCTTTGTTTTCCAAAAGGTATGAATAAAGACAGTTCTCTGTTTCCTCACTGTACATGGTTTCATTTACAAAAAGTAATCTCTCGTTACAAAAAAACATTTTCTTGTGTTCAACCGAAAGCAGCCTGAATTATTCTTAATATACAGTATTCTATTTTCTTTGTTTAACACTGTCCAAAACGCAAGACTTGCTCACGCTGGCTTGTTGAGAAATCTTGGTTTTCTCCCTGCTAAGTCAAGGTTTGGAATCTCAAATAGATTCCAGCAGTTCATTTGTTGTGCAGGCATAACGACAATATGCCAGGGTTAAGGAGGGGAGACGGGCGAGAGTCAAAGGGTTTATCGGCAGAGGTCAGTCAGTCAGCAGCAGCAGGACTTTTGTGGCTTAGTGTGGGAAAAGGGGATCATAGTGGACATGTCGCTGGTGGTCCTCTCAGTCGGTTCTCAACAAGGATTAACTGAACCAAGAGCAGCATTGGCAGGAATTCCTCTTGGTCTACCTGGTGACCTTTTTGTCAAATGTGGTTGAGCAGGCGGCTGTGAAGGAAGGCCTTAATGGTGCCTATGGGCCGAACGTCGTTCTGGTGTTTCCGCCTCTCGATGAAGGAAATGAGCCTGGAGGTGTCCAGGTGTGTGCTGTAATGATTCTGAGACGGTGGCATTGCTGGTGGCTGCATGTGATTTAAGGTGTCGTGTCCATTGTCTCTGTTCAACACACCTCGAGGCTGGAGCCAAGGCTCCTGCAGGCAGGACACCGCAGAGGGACGTCGCTCCGGCTCGCCCTGGAGCAGCAGGCGGACAAAGTCCTTGGCAGCTGGGCTCACACCCTGGAAGTAGTCCTCAGGGAAGCTGAAGTCCAGGCGACAGATGTTCAGACACGTCTCCTCCAGACTCTCATCCAGGAAGGGAGAAGCGCCGCTCAGTACAACATAGGTCACGACTCCTGTAAATGATCCGGTCCATGAATATACTGCTAAATAGTTATTAGTCAACAGCTCACTTAGTCAGTTAGTTACAGGCAAGATGGAATATATTTATACCGTAAATTCATACAAAGAGTTACCGTAATTTCCGGTCTATAAGCCGCTACTTTTTTCACACGCTCTGAACACTGCGGCTTAAACAATGATGCGGCTAATTTATGGGTTTTAACGGGCTGGATCCTGACAACGCAGAGCAGTGTCAAAAAATCCACGATCACCAATGGGTTTCGAAAGGCTGGACTGCCGCCTGATAAAGAGGACAGCACAAGCTCAAGGGCGAATTTGCCTTGAGAGAAAAGTGACATTGAGAGACTGAGGAAGTGTGTGACGAAGTAATTCTGTTCAATTCCCACACTGAAGAAGACGACTTTAGTGGTTTTAGTGCGCAGGAGGAAGATGAAGATAGCGATCAGTGACTTTTCCTGGTAGGGTACTGTAGTTTTCTTTTCTTTTTCTTTTTTACCATTTTACCAGCTGTGTCACAGGCACTGTTCGGAAAAAAGCATTTACGGTATTTATTTGTGTATGTCACCGGTACGTATTAAACTAAACTAAATCTTTCTTTGTAACATCTTCCTGTGTAGATATCTCATGTTACAACGTGGACACCTGCAGCTTATAGACAAGTGCATCCTATATATTAACTTTTTTTTTTTCTTTTTAAAGTTATTGGTTGGGCTTATACTCAGGTCCGCTCAATAATCCGAAAAGTATGGTATTATATCACAACACCAAAGCTAACATAAGCCTTTACTAGATAATTCACTTAAGACTTTGAGTTTTCCATTCTGTAATTTAATGATGAAATGTCTAATCTATACAACAGCACAATCTGACCTGAGGCCTCAAAGTACTGAGTTCATATAAAATATGAGCATTTATTGCTAAACGATGGCTATAATGTCAAAATGCCAAAGACTCCAATCCAATGTGAGACACTGAAAATGTCGTATGTGTGTTTTCTCTACAGACCTAAGCTCCAGAGGTCAGACATCAGTGAGGCAGGCTGACCCAGGACCAGTTCAGGAGCAGAGAACTCTGGGCTCCCCAGCAGAGGATGGACATAGGAGGAGGGAGGGTTCAGTTGAACAGCGTCACCGAAGTCTGTCAGCTTGATAACTGGCTGGGAAGATGCATGTTCCATCATAATGTTCTCAGGCTGCAGGAGCAAAAAAAAAAAAAAAAGACTCAGACATCCATCCTTAGTTCCAGTACAACCACTGGGCCAATCGTGTCATAATTAAATTTTGTAAAGAAGAAAAAGCAAAGAAGCAGTTCAGCTTGACGGTCAAGGGACTTTTTTACATGTCTTTACATTCCATTTGCCAAATCTCAGTTCCTAGAGCCCATGGTCATATCTGCAACTGTTTTGTTGTGCTAAGAAAGTCAGTCTACTTTCATACAAACCTAAGAAAAAACACAAAATATTCACATTTTTGACACTGAACTTTTGTTATTTCTACCTAACAATACTTAGGTGAAATTGTCAAATAACAAAACAATTCTTTTGGCTCTATGCCAATGCAAGAATGCCTGTTTACTTTGAGATCAAGGTGCGCTATCCTCCAGCTGTGCAGGTAATGGAGAGCCTCGAGAATATCTCTGAGGTATAAAGCCACTTTCTCCTCAGTCAGGTTGCCCCAGCTCACTATGTAGTCCAGGAAACGTCCCTGGTCTGCCCTGCAAACAGAAACAAACAAAGGGGAATAATCCATTAGTATTTTTTTCAGTAGATGGGGAGTCACAACAGCTACACAGAAACACCACTGTACTTACAGTTCTAGAACAAGCACGTAGCTATTGGCCGTCTCATATGTGTCCAGTAGTCTGACCAGATTGGGATGGTCTAGAGTCTGCAGGAGTCGGACCTCCTGCAGAACCTGTTCTCGACGCGACAACTTCTTGTTGACGTGTTTTGCTGCAACTGTGCGTTTACTCCCTCTCTGGTCACACCGCTTGGTCACTGAGAAGCGGCCCCTGTGGAGCAGAAATCAGGGTTATCACAGTACATTACCTCTCACAATGTAGGAAAAAAAATAAAATTCTACCTCATACAAATTTATCTTTAGTTCTGCCTTACCCATCTAGTACAACTACCACCACAAGCAAGAAAATCAGAGTTTGTTAGCTTTGATGTGGTTACGGGGCACCATATGACAGACTGAAAACCAACAGGGGATTTCACCAGTGTATCATTACCTTCCTAGCTCAGAAATCTCTGTGTAGTGGGACTCAAAGTTGCTTTTCCAGAGGACTTCACTTCCATCATCAGCGGTTCCTGAAAACATATATTGTGTTTACAATGAGTTTGGCATCGAACTAACCCAAAAAAAGCGCACTGGCAAACATATAGTTAATGGTTTTATTCAGTGACAGGATTACCTGACACTCTGAGGCTGGAGGAGGAGGTGACTGTGCCTGCTATGTTTGTGGCAACGCAGGTGTAGACACCACTATCCTCCACAGACGCTGCGAGGATACGCAGGGATGCCTCTCCTGTCTCACTGTAGAAGCAGAAAATGAACCCAGTGACACAAAATGCACACAGTGAAATGGTGACAAAAGATGCTAAATGTACATTTGCACTTTGTATTTCTCAGAATTATGCTGCATATTCTACACACCACTTGGGCTCCCACTGTATCCTTGCTGTGTCTTTAAATGAGTCTATTAGCAGCACATTTGCATTCTTATCAGGTAGGTTGATGTAAATCTTAGGTCTTTGTAGCCATAATAGTTAAAATGATGCTTTATCCTTCCAAAATACAAGCTGCTACTGTGTAAATACAGCTTTGAAAAACGAATGCATCAGGACGCATGCCATCACCTGTATGTGATGCTGTAGCGTCCATTGTTGCTCAGAGTATTGTTGTCAGGTCCACGCCAAGTGACGGTTGCTCGAGGTCGACCGCACACTTTACACCTTAGAGTAACGTTGTCACCACTCTCACATGCTGCATCGCTAACAGGAATGAGGAACTCTGGAGGAGCTGGAGGAAGAAAAGTTGAGATTAAAGTTTGTGAGACACACATGGTATCTAAACCATATCAGAATTTTTACAGTTAACGGGAAGGGAGAATGTGTTTAGTCAATGCATGTACTGGTATAGTTTATGAGTCATTCTTTTTTTGTTGTTGTTTCCTCTATCTTTTACACACACACTGACACATTGATTCTATGGTGACACTTTTAGTGGACACCTACCATCATAGATGAAGTTGGGATTCAGAAGCTGAAATGAAAATATAAGGACACAATTACATTTCTTGCATAAATTAAAAAGGACACAGAGCAAGTGGATTCAAGCTGAGTAAAATGTTATCTTTACACGTTCTACCTTGACAGAGACTTTGTTGGCCAGGCTGTCCTGAGACTTGCGGTAGCCGTTCTCTAGTTTCCTGCCCTCCTTGTCTCTTTTCTCGGACTTGCGGCGGATACGAAGCGCTGTGTGCCATGATAATGATTTTCTGAATCAAGCAAGACCAAAAGGGAGAAGTTTCATTATTCATTAAAACTTTGCATGATCACAACTGACATATGTTATATTTTTTAATTGTTTTATTTGCCATTGCGGGTCTTTTTCTTTCACTTTTATTGGGGATAAAGGAGGGACTCTGGTATCTTATTCTTACTTGATGGTTCCTTCGGGGAGCTCGGGTGTGATGGAGGATGAGGTATGTCCTAATACGTAGCCAGGGATCCAGCCCTCAGCGGCAGGGCAGTGCTCATTAGCTGCCCGGTAAACCAGGAACATGTTCTGCTGATTGCTGGCTAGCATCTGGACCACCTCACCCTGCACCACACTGATCTCATCTTCCTTCACTGCCACATAGTCCTGGGTCACCAACATGGTGGACATGCTGCTGCTGTTACTGCTTTCACTCTGCCAGAAAAGGAGATTGGAAAACTTGAGTCATGCAACACTGTTTAAACATAGCACAATACAACACCTCACACATACACACAAACCAACACAGTAAACATGAAAAAGGAAGTACAAAGGTGTTACTTCACACCAATCAAATGCATGATTTGGCTGACTGGAACACACACACACACACGTATACAAAATGACCTTGTGAATATGCTAAATGCATGCAGCAATGGAAGCATTACAAAATGTCTTTTAAGCTTGCAGAGGTACAAAAAGCAATTGCTTATGTCTATACAGATGATTGACAAGTTACTATGTAAGAAAAGTTGAAAAGTTGTGAAGCAGAAGTTTTAATCCTCAGGCCAGGGATGTTGAAATTCAGAGTTTCATGTTTCCACAGAAAGATTGAAGGTGATGTAAAAGCTATTTTTAAGAAGAAATATAGAAGACACTATCAGAGAAACAATGGTGGGTTGCAGAAAACAAACTGTAGTTTGTGCAGTCAAGGTTAACCATTGGAAAGTTCAGTCAAAACCATCTCACAGGAAAAAACAAGAAAGGTGGTAAGCTGTGAAAGAGCTTCTTGCACGTAGTGAGCGGTCAGTGGTTATCTCTTGAGAATACTTCAGCAGAAGAATAAATGAAAAGGAGAAATGATGTTTTAAAAACCATTTGGTAACTGTTAGTGCCGATTAGCTACAGTTGAAAAACAAACATTTACTGTAGGTCAGAGAGAGAGACTCTTAAAAAGCAGATACATCAGTTGCTCTATGGGTCAGATCCACACTGTTAGTACATTCTGGGAGAGCAAAGAAAGTCTCTCACACACACTGCCGGTGAAGTTAGTGCACTCAGATAGGCGTTAATCTTCAGTCAGTCAGCGGTAGTAATCGTTGCATGTACAAGCCATTCTTATAGCCGGCGGCAAGGAGACTGACTGACAGCCAGTCAGGGAGGGTTAGTGACTAGTGAGAAGCTCGAGACCTCACTGAAGCCTGGGCCTTGACTTGGCATCTTACCCCGTTGCTTTGGGTGGACTGTATGGACTGCTCGCTGGTGGAGGAGCATGTGCTCATGCGGTCTATGTCCTTACTGTTGGAGTGGCGGTGATGAGAGGACGTCCCGTGACTTCCTCTGCCCAAAGAGTCGCCTCCACCCCCATTGTCACTGGGGTAGGAGAAGGAGCCAGGCCTGCTGGCAGGAGAGGGAGGCACCGTGGGCACAATAGCCCAGAAAGCGTTGCCTTTATGAGCTGGGCTGGAGGGGACAAATGCTTCCTTTCCTCCTCCAGGGGTCTGAGGTGAAATCAGTGGAGAAACTGTCCCAACTCGTGGGCTTTTAAGAGGAAAATTCAGAGGAGCCACTGGCATCTGAGGAATACCAGCTACTTGATGCTTCTGCATCTCTTCATAGCCTCCCAGAGCTTGTCTGACACTGCTGTCCATATTACCTGATGGCTTGTTACTGTTATTACTGTTACTTCCATGAGGACTGTCCAGCATCCTCATCTTAGGGACCTCTGAGCCTAAAAGCTCTCCGTTTGTTGTGCTGTCTGAATAGAGGTTAGAAGGGAGGGACTGGGGGTGGCAGGGTGACCACATACCTGCTGATCTGTCGGGCCCCTCAGGGCCCGGGGGGTGGTGGTGGTGGACAGGCTGGGGGAGGCGTGAGGACGGCTGGGGGATACGGGAGGGTCGGGAGCGAGGGCCGCACAGAGAGGAGGAGCTTCCCCCCGATCCTCCAGAGCCGCCGCCACCTCCTCCTCCCATGTTGGAGGTACTGTTGGAGCTGCTGCCTCCTGGGAGGCCTGCAGAACTACTGCTGCTACTGCTGGGTGGACCGCTTGGCCCGCCACCACCCACATGGTTCCTCTGGTACTCTATGGGTGATGTCAAAGCTGTGGGAGAGGACAACGGGTAAGATCCCTCATGTTACCATGTACTTCAAAAGAGAAATTTACTGTCACAAGATTGATGAAGTTCAAAGACAACCCTGCAAACTCAAAACTAATCCTTCTCTTACATTAAAGAACCCAGTACAGTAACATATTGTTGTAGGCTATTAATTTTATGTGCACAGAAATAAGCATGACAGTCTCTTACCATTGAGGAAATTGCGTTGGTTCTCCAGTATCTGGCTGACCTGGTGGATCCAGACTTGACTGACCCCAGGGCTGGTTGAATGGAGGGTGTATCTTTCCAGGTTACCACTAGATGATCTGGAGGTCAATGTGAACTTGCAGGGGTCCTCTGCATTTTCTTCTAGACCCAACCAGCTCACCTGGAGTGATGGGGCAAGGAAAGAGCAAGAGAGGGGGCCAAGAGGATTTGTGAAAGGAATTTGAGTGTCTCGATTAAAGAAGTACAATTGACAGTAATCCATTCATGATAGTCTAACATTAGCAGTTGGAGGAAGCTTGCATGTTGCTCTCACAGTAGATTGTATTGAGCTGCACTCACCTTGATGCTGTTCTTAAAGAGGTAGCCAGGAGTAGAGAAGCCCTTCTTTTTGTCCAGGGGCTCACTGAAGATAACTATCTGCTCAAACAGAAAGATTCTCCTCTCTTTCATCCTAGACAGGAGTCCTCCATCCTGGTCTGAAACCATGAAGGTGTCTTGGCAAAGCAATCTGCCCTGAGCCACAATTTTTCCCTGAAGAGAGAAGGAGAGCAGACAAACAGGGAATCAGAGGAAAGACACATCAGTGGGGGACAGCATAACCTTTTCAGTTTTCATAAGTAGTAACAGCTTCACTTCAGAACAAAAAAAAGAAAAAAAAAGAACACACAAAAAAGCAATGTCTAATAAACTACCTACATAACTAGCTTTTTCAAAAAATGAGTGCACACTGACACCTGGTGGCTGTTCACTGAAACTAGAAACTAATTTGCAGATTTTTCTCAAAGCTATTTACATTAATATTTTATTCTATAGAAATTAATTCACAGACTTACATCGAAGCCTTGGAGGCGCCCAACATTCATCATGTCATTGCAGCGCTTGGGGACGACACACATCACCTCTACTGCTTTCTGTAGAAGAACAATGGAGCAAAACATACTTTTAGATAAAATGCTTGCATGAGAGTCAAGAAGAAAGTAACCAAGCATTGGAATCAAGCTCAGATAGAGGTATAAACTAAAGATTGCTATTATTTTTGCCAAAGTTTGTGCTGCACCCTCTGTGTTTTGTATTACTGTACCTCCAGCTCTGTTGAATCGACTGCGGCCTTCTTAGAAATTTTGAGAAGATCCTGTGAAGAAATTGAAATGCTTAGGAAAACCTTGTGCCGATTCATTCTGTATGTTCAATATGAAAAGCATTTTTCCTTGACTGCAGCCTGCAGAATGTACCTTCAGTAGGAGCTGGTACTTCATTATGCGTTGGACAGGTTTGATTAGCAGATCAGTGAGCTGCAATCTGTGTCCCAATCGCTGCTTAAGGTCCTAAAGAAAGATTAAAAACATGTTATCTCTAGAGAACACCAATCAAATTAACAATGCAATATAGAAATTATGTTGCAGGTGGAAGCTAGAAAATGATTTCAAAATCTTACTTCAAAGTACGTGTCGATATACTCTGACACAATGTGTTCAGATTTAGGCTTGTTCTGGCAGTACACGATGTACATGTGCAGCCTCCGCTCCTGTAATCAGAACAAAACAAAAAACCAAAACAACGGTATTTGTTACAAGTTAGAACATATAATTTCCTTTGCTCTTTTTGAAATCTCGTAAAATGTAAACACATCTGTGATACAAAACAAATGTGAACACTTCCTACCTGTTTGACAAATAAAGGAGCCAGCCTGTCAGGATCCTCCAAACACTTTTCAAGTTCTCCCAGAAAAAAACTGCGGTCAAATAAAGACAGAAACACTTGACTTAACTTGACAAAGAACCTGATACTGAATATTGATATATATGTATATATTTAAATTATGATGTTGCTTTCTAATATACATTCTTCATGCTGGGACAGATAATACTGCATTAACCCACTGAACCCCAAGCCATTTCTGTTTGGTTTTTTTTGCTCCTGATACATTCCTTTAATTTTTATTTAACAAAAAAAAAAATGGAGAAAGTGCCCACAGATGTTATCGATACTGTAAAAATAAATAGGGCCTCTACATGCTATAGACATTTTATGACTTACATTTTCTTATTTGTTTTCATACTCATCTCCTATCTGCTCAATGTGAACACAACCTGCAGTTTCGTGCAATTCAGTTGAATAGTCTCTGAATTTCCGTCACATGAATGTTGGTTCCAGTGGAGTCACTAAGGACTTGAAGGTTGCGCTGAGGAGTGTAGAATTTTTTGCATTTTTATAGAACCTGATTCGAGTAAACAATTTACTTTTGGCATTTTTAAAATAAAATCGTATGATTTAAAGCTTAGGTCTGGTTAAGTTTTTCAACAGAACAACACGTCACAGGTGATTAGTACAACAATTTTTAGAAAGTTAAAAATTAGATTCTTTCTGTTTTTATACTTTATAGCTCTGATAAACAGTGTGACTGCTGCATTTTTTTTAAAGATGGTATTCATTTTAAACCTGTCTGGGGTGGTTTGGGGTTCAGAGGGTTTAAAATGTTTTCTTTATATTAGTATTTGCACGATTGAAGACTTATGCGTACTCTTTGTGCCAGTCATAGATCTGATGGATGTTTCCAAAGACGATCTTGTCTTTTCCTCTCATGTCATCGGGAACTCCTTCCTCTTTCATCCTGCTCATGTAGCCCTAAGTGAGAGGAAAGTCAACAGATTGGTAAAACATACGATAAACACTGACCAAAAACTTTGTCTCAGAAGATACCTAGATATACTGTAATATCTTCATTTTAGATTTTTACCTCCACGACTGATCCCAGGTCTCTGACATAGTCCCTTTCAGTCTCCACCAGCTCCAGAAGCACATAACTGAGAGACAGAAAACAGAAATTGTCACTGTGTAATACAAATGTAATGCTGAGCCGTGGATGAACATCAGAAATGCTCCATATAAGCACACAAACGAAGTCAAACGTGATTAACTGACCGCGCTCAAGCAGCTTTTGTTTATCAAAATGCTAACAAGACGCAGGCTTGTAACTCACTGTCTTCTTTTGAGGAAGCCAGATTTGCGCTCCTCCAGCTCGTCGATGGGCGAGGAGGAGGAAAGGAGGGAGTTGTCGGAGGGGTTGAGAGAGGGAGAGCTGCTGTCGCCTTGTTCCACTGAGAGAGAACTGGGACGATCCTCCAGTGACTATGGAAAGACGAGTACAGATAAAAATAAAGATAAAACAGAGGAAGAGACAAGAGGTTATAAACATAAGGATGAAGAGATAGAAAGTAAGAGCTGTCACAGAGCAGTGTCTTTCATCGTTTTGTCTTTATCAAATGAAGGCATGTATGTAGGCCAGCGGGCACTAGTATGTTGGGGATATTGTACAGAGTGCACTGCCCATTTGTGAAGACAGCTGGCAGAGTTAGTCACAGTCCTGACAGATGACTAGTAGGCCATTATGCCATTCTCCATCACCAACACCAGAAAAAAAAGTGTGCGCTTGCATGAACATCTATCAGAATTGCTTTGTGTACAAATGTGCCACATTTGCAAGTACATGCGAGTGTTGATTATGATTTCCATCTCACCATCTTGCTCTTCACCAGCTCCTCGATGGCACTGACCAGTTCAGCAGCACTAGGCGTCTCTGAACTATTGGGACGAGCCGACAGGCGAGATGCAGACTGAAAAAGAGAGAGAAAACGGAAAAAAAAAATGAATGGCTAATGTACAAAAAGTGACTAATGTAGAAGTTTGCGTGCTGCATGCGTAACAGGAGTCATTCATTCTCAGTGACTACTACTGTGTATGTGATCGGGCTCACCATTGTTGTGTTTGGACCGCAATATTCCACATGTCCCAATAAGGACTTGGTGCCTGTGATCTCCCTGATAAAAGGGTTAATTGGGGGCCAAGTTGGAGCCAATCAAAGGCTGGTTTCAGGTAAACAGGGGTCATGAGGGAGGCTCAGGTGAAGGGCAAACTCTGGGATTGGAGTGCTCTTCAAGCACCTGCACCATGATTGGTCAAACAACTTATACAGAGCAAACAGTGTTGCTTAATACTCCATTGGACAGAACGTTTGCATCAGCGCCAAGGCACAGTGGCAGGGAGAGATTTAAAAGGATCCTCTGTACGTAACCATTTAGTCCCACAAACACCTCAGCACTACAGAGACATGTGAATGGAGTATTCACTTCAGCAACAGGAAAATAATCACATTCCAAGGGAATGACATTAAGTGAAAGAAAGAAACGAAAAGAAGTAAAACAAAGAAGGATGATTGAGTGGTTTTACATGGAGAGATAGGGAAACTGGGACAGAAGAGAGGCAGAACAGAAATCAACATAATGCTGTAGGAAGGAACATGCAACCATTGAAATAATAAGAGAAACAAAAAAAAGAAAAGTTGTTAGTGCCAAACCTACAAAATCCAAATTAAAAAGTCTTGTAAAGAGAAATTTGTCCTAGTTGTCTCCCTAAATAATGCATCTGTATTGTTGTGCTATCATTATGTACATAAACCCAAAACTACGAAGGGTCCATTTAAATGACATGATAAATCATCTATTTTGTTATAGATCAGCTTAAATTCAAAACATTCATATGTCTTTGTGATCCTGTGCATTGAGTTTTCGGTTTACAACTGCCTCTCACCATTTATAGTTATACTCTTTAAGCGTATGCATGCATTTAGTTTGCCCTGTGCGACCCACCTTGTCATCCTGGGAGTCGGGCTGCAGCAGGCTGTGCTGCTGGATGGCCATTGGGGGAGGCAGAGGGACAGCGTCAGCTCCTTCCTCTCCTTCCTCCTCGCCACAGCTCTGCATGCCTGATGAGGAAGACTTGGACAGGGTACCACTGCTCAGCCCCTCGTTACGCATACGCTGGAGAGAAAGCAGGTGACAGCGGCGGGTCAGGATCCAAACTGGGTCTATATGTTCCAACAGGGTCACGGTGATGCACAGTTTGGCAGTGTGTGTTCATACCTCCTCCAGGGTCTCGTCCTGTGGCGTGGCTGCGCTGTCGTCGGAGTCCTTTTGTGAGCCGGCCATCGCGTCCATGTTCTTCCTGGTGCCGTCGCGGTTCTTCTTGTGCTTGTGGGCGAGCTTCTTGACGTGGCCGTCAGCTTTGCCAGAGCTGAGGCGCCGTACAGGGCTTGTCAGCCACTTCCTCAAAGTGTTCCCGGGGCGTTTGGGACCCGGAGAGCTGTGAGGACCCAGAGTCTGGCTAGAGCCGGGCTGCAGGGCATCATTACTGGATACAGACAAGGTGTCTAAACGTGAGAGAAGAGAGAAGAGAGAGGAGGTCAACAATGACACAACCATTAAGGCACAATTTGTAATCCAAATTCAGACAACAGTGTTATCTCAGCTAAAATCAAAACACAAGAACTTATTTGTCTTTGATTGATTGACACTGGAACACTAATTCATTAATTCAATGCTGGTTAATCATGCTATTAAAGATTTTTTTATATCACTAATGCCTGCAAACACAGAAGCAAAATGGACCTGGAAAATAAACAGGAAGTTCTCCAACTCGTATTTGTCATTTGTTTCGATTAACCTCAAATTTATTGGCAGCAGCTGACCTTTTTCTGCTTGAAAAAAACACAACACTGTGTGCACTCTCTATGCATGTGTGAGATTGCTGTGAGTCAGAGAGAATTAAGGAAAAAAAAAAAAGCCAATATATGATAAAGATTGTGTTTGTTTGTTTGTACAGGGTTTGCATGTGTTATGTGCAGTAGGCAGGCTGGCCTCCTCCTCACAGTGATGACAGCTCCTTGGGGAATCTGTAGGAGGACAAGCTCTGCTTCGACTTGAAATGGAGCTGAGAGAAAATAATACAGGATAACGGGATGCTCGAGGCTTTGTCTGAATACTTCAAAGATATGTCCACCTGTTTGTCTCCCCTGTCTCTGCTCATTTGCTCCATCTCCCCCTTCCTCCCGTCCTTCCGCTATCCTAACCCCGTTTCTCCTCCATCGCATTAACATTCCCTTCTTTTGGTTTACTTCGCCATCACCAGCTGCAGGAAGAAACAAAACGTCTCGACTGGCTCAACAAGTAATCTGACCGTGTAGTCTTGGGATGTAAATGTTAAGCTTGGATGTTTTTTTTATTTTTATTGTGCTCTCTCTCATTGTGCAACGTGATCCCACCTCTTGCACCACACAGCATTCCTCTGATAAAACCTTTCACCTCCTGTAAGACTTCACAGTTCAACCAAAGCTCTGACTTCAGAACATCCCTCACTCTACTGCCTACACAAGAGCAAGTAAAATAAGAAATAAAAAAAAAACTTCCTAGACATGACAAAGAACTTTAGCAATCACCAAAGGATGAGGAGAACATCTTTTACAGTAAAATAACTCATTTAAAGGTAAAGTTTACAACATCTATAGTTTGTTTTTGTCTTGGTGCAGGAAGATGTTCTCATTGTGGACATTTGCACATGATTTCCAGAAAGGAAATGACTGCAAAAACAAGTGCATCTGTATGGGGGCTGGAGCTGAGTCAAGGATAAAGCTCTCCTCCTACATTAGTCCACTTTGAACTGTTTGCATCAAAACATGTTGAGCTGTGGAAAAGAAAACAACAATGTTTTTATTGTCTTTAAGAAAAACTAATTTTAGTCTGAATACAAGACAAATGATCTATATCTTCGGATACTGTGCAGCATTGTGGTGAAAGAGTGAAAGGTCTGAAAGATTCAGGCTCCAGCATCGCCATTAAAGTGGTTAAAAAGATGCAGCTGCTAAAGATTAAACCATGTGACTTTGTTGAATGGCTCTTATGAATGGTAGGTGTGGAAATTCTGCCATCCCTTATTGGACAGTTTCACACGGCCTGAATTAAAGCATCTGCATGTGAACGTGCGTGTCAGTCATTCAGCCTCTGGGAGACTTATTTTTTATTGCGCTCCGCTTATACGAAGCATGTGTTCTCACATCGCATGCGAGGGAATAAAACAGTACAGTTCCCAGAATAACAAGCGTCTCTCACATCAGGCACTGTAAAGACTCTAAAGCCACCTTCTCTGAGACTCCTCTCACCGTCTCCCTCTGACAAAGCCCAGGTCATTTGGTGAAATTGTCCGCAAAACCTTGGCGTTGAAAGTCATCTGTCAATGATTTTGTAATACTTAAGCTGCTTAGTTAAGATTTTATTGGCCATGAGTCAGGACAAAGCATAAAAAACCCTTTTCATCCTGTTTTCATCTCAGTTTTTACCAGACAAAAATCACATGGACACTGTTCTATTTCTCAGGAAAGAGGAAACTTTGACTGCTCTGCAAATCTATATATCCGTCCTGAGGGATCTATTTAAAGGAATGGAGATAGGAGGTGCGGAAAGTTTGTCTGTCTTGCCTGAGGGCAACTTGATCGACGATTATCCCTGTTGTTCGCTCAAATGTTTACATGCAGCCTCACTGTTTAGAATCGATTTCAGGAAGGCTGTGTGATATACCTGCCTCCAACATCTCCCTCTGTAGTGCTAAATGAAAACCAGAGTCACAACTGTTGGTTATGATACTGCCCTGGAATGTTTTAGTCATGGGTGCATTCATGGATCCCGTTTAGGGCTCATGACTCAGAATACCTTTGCATTTACTGTTGTTGGTCTCCAAGGACTATCAAATCCTGGGTTTATGAGTTCTGTATTCTTCGCATGAATAATGGAGAAAATGTACATGTGAACACTTTCTCCATTACTCATACTAAAAGTTAAAACTACAGGTGCTGATTACTTGTTATCAGTCTTTTAAAACGTTGTGCTGCTTCAGTGTCCACTTACCCAAACTATTCACTTTTCCTTTCCATGTAAACCAGAGCCTCCTTGCTTTCCTTTAGCTTTAACTGACAGACCACACTGATGATCTTCAGCACTCACCATCTTGAACACATACTTTCACACTTAGTTGGAAGCTTGTGCTTTTAAAGGGAATGAACCAAGGAAGCATACAGAAGTCAGGACTTCTCATGTAAGGTAAACAGACCGTACTTCCTGCAGACATGCTGGGGTCACAACCTAACATGTGGCCATGCTGTTAGCAAGTACATCCCAGCTATTACACAGAGGCTGCAGGGGAAGTTCAGCAGACAAATATTTTACACTGTCGGTTCACAGTTGTGCACCTGTAGAACTGCATTTAATTACCTAAATTTGAAACATAAGCAAAGTATTTAGCAAACAATGGCCTCTACTAGGGATTTATTGTGATTGAATTATTGACAAATATATATATATATATATAGCTTCGTAAATACGTTTGGTTCACACTCATGCATTTAGCGGCATCTATATGCGCTAATGAGAGTGAAGAGGCTGTGCTAACAGGGGTGTGAATGGATGAAACATGGGGTCAGCAGCCTTGACACATTCCTCTTCAGTGGAAATAACTCCAGAGAGACATGAACACAGAGGCCACGACCTTTGCCCTTCGCCCTGCAGGGTGTCTTTCATTGCGGAGACACATCAAGAACAGCTGGTCAGGCGCTCACTCTTGGGAAACAAACATGGTGGGACAGAAAATGAGCTTCTCGTGTAATCATTTGATTTGATATTGACACGTCGTCCTTACAGATCCTTTAATCCTGCAGCTACAATAAGTAGGTGAGGACTTATAGATGCTTCGCTACTCATCTAAGACGTCTTAAATGGATTATTCAGTTTTCTGTCAGCTTAATTTTCTCCCAATGTTTTGATCAGCTCAGACGAAAACCTTATTTTCCTGCAACAGGCTTTAAAACATAGGGCTGGTTAATCTTTGCAAAAAGGATCCAATTAGTAAAGTGATGCCTCTGTCTCTGGAGCAAGTTCAGATCAAAGGTTTGCTTCCTGATTAATTCATCAGCAGGCTAACTAGCTCATCATACTGTTGGCGGTGATCACTAAAGTCAGACAGTACACTTTTACAATATATCATCATGTGGCATTGGTGTTACAATAGTACGTGTGTATATATAGTAGAAGTACACATGTGCAGACATTCCAACTTTAAAATATCTATTCCACTCTCCATCATTCAAGTCAACACTCAAATGCAATAGTAAATCATTTGTGTGTGACCTCCTGATAATGCCATCCGCTCAGTTTAACTCCGTGGGCTGATATCCCTGAGGAGAGACCGACCAAGAGTCCAACAGATGTTCTCCAACTGCATATTCAGACTTTTGCTCATTTATCTGCAAGCTACTGACATGATATCATAATTCCGTCACTGCTCATTCATGCTGTTTGCAAAGAACATGCTAGATTTACAACTTAGTATGTGTGTGTGTGTCTTAAATTAGGAGGGGGTGTTGTGATCCTGAAAGTCTACACAGCTCCACAGAAGCATGCCTGGGATTCCAGAGGTGTCACCCAGGGGAGCATCTTTCGTGTGGTCTTATCTTGACCGAGAGAAGCGACACAAACACACACACACAGACACACAAAACATCAGTCAGTGTGATTGGAGACGTGCTTTTAGGGGAGGAGGCGCAGCTTGTGGGAAAGCTCCAGGGGATTTGGCTAGCTGATCTGTAAAAATGTAGACAATGCTGGAGCCACCGACAGCCGTAGTTAGAGAGGGAGTGGTGACGGGATGGATGATATAGAGCTTAGAGACCACCTGCTACGCATTCTGGTAAAACTAGTCTAATATTTGGTGTGGTTTTTTTTTAGTGCATTTTTTTTTAGACTATATGCAGCACACAACTGTGAAAACATTAAACAGAAGAGGGATGGCATTGTGAAAAGCTCCACTTCTTCTTATTCTATTGAGTTTGGCCGCATTATTTTCTTTTCTCCCCCAGGGACTACGATAACACCCTGTGCCCATCTGTGCAGCACCAGCCTGACCTAGCGTACAGGCCAACACAGGGATATAATCTTGTCAATGTAATTTCAGTAGATTTAATATCTCATCATCATAACGGTGCATTCGCCAAATTACTTTCACTGCCATAATGCTATAACATAATCCGCAGTTGATCAGTGAAACTGCTGCACAAAGCCCAAAACAAAATAGCTGATGTAGAACCCACAAACGAGGACAAGCTGTGAAAATACGAACAAAGTCCGAACTGTAGATGTTTTTTGCACAAATAGTGGTTTCACATCTGAAACTGACAATCCAACTTTTGGACCCTGCATGTTTTTAGAGCAAAAACGTGCATCCTTATGTCACACCTAACTCACATTCTATCGACCTGCTTTGTGTATTTGTGGAACATGGTAAGTGAACAAACAATAAGAACAAACTGGTAAATTAAAGCAACATTCCTTATATTTTTAGAATCACATGAAAAGCAAAAATAGGATTTAAAAGCAGAAGAGAAACAGATTTACTGTCCTACATATTGTGCCGTTGCTCATGTGTTACACAGGACCATGGGACCTACCCAGATCCAGCAGCCAGAACTTGCAGTTGTCCGAGTGTTCTCCCTGCGCTGAACCCATAGAGCAAAACGGGTTTAAAGACACTAAGGACTCGATTCCACGTGCCATGTCAGTCAAACACAAAGCCTCTTGAAGCCTGACTTGAAATATTCCCTTATAGCATCTCCGCAGGTATCGAAACTAAACTCCTGGGCAAAACCCCAAAATTGTTTCTGAAATGATTTGCAGTTAAAAATAGTTCTGCAGCAGCTACGTCGCTGAAATTCCAAAGACAGAAAGTGTGAAGTCCAACGCGAGGAAAGAGAAAAAGTCAAATGCAGCATTCGAGAGTAGGATGTTTTCTCTCTCGTTCTTTGTATCTCCTTCCCTCCCTCTCTGCCTCCCTCCCTCCCTCCCTCATGAGTGGGCTGCTGCGAGGATATTGGGCAAACCTCCACTGTGCCTCTCCTGTTCGAAGGGGACGTCTGGAAACATGCAGCGCATCTACCGTATTACTCTTTGTAGAAGCACCCACTCACTTTGTGTGGGCGGGTGCATATTTTGCAGGCATTAGGATGCATACAAGTTGGACAGTATGCTCAGAACAAATATAGCTTCGGTTATGAAACCCAGCAAAAATGAACAGCAAAATACTCAGTGGAAAAAAGAAAAAAAAAAGATCTGTGTCAAATTCAGTGGTTGTTTATAGATCACATACACATTTTGGATTTTTTTCTCTCAGGAATATACACTGTACATGTGACTCTGTTTTCTAGCTTCTTCAACTGACCGAGCACTGTGCAGTCTTTAGCAACTGTGCAGACTAGATGCACAAAGATCTCTCTGTTTAACTGCCAGTGTGTGTTTATGTGTCTGAACACACTCTCTCCTGTACGGACAGATGCACATTAACTAGCCTGCATTTATTCTCCGCTCCACAGAGAGTCTTCTTTACCTCATTAGGTGGGTGCTTGTGTATTTATTTAATTCAAAGAAGCACCAAGAGTCAACCTGCGTCGTTGATAAATGGGGAAATTCCAGTGATTGAACTGAAAATGTGATTTTTCAGTTGATCAAAGTGATCTAAGCCTGACTCAAGAGGAATGTGTAGGTTTGCAGGATGAGATTGAGAAAACACTCAAACTACTATACTATAACCAGAGCAGAGAGCCAGCTCCACACCACGTATTCACTTTGCAAGCTAATTGATTTGTATGCGACCCATTCTAGTCTATTCTGTTCTCTTAATCTAGACACAGACTTTGGCCTCCGACAGCCAATTATTCCTTGTTGTGAGACACAGCAGGGAAAGGGGAGATTTCCGGGACAACACCCTAATCCCCTAAACCGTTACCCTTCCACAAGTTTGGACAAAGTGGCCTCCGTGGTTGGTCGGTAAACATAAAAGGCCCACAAAATAGCAAAGACATTTTTTTTTTTTTTTATCATCCTTGTCTACCTCCTCCTTAGCAACTGACTTTTTTTTTTTTTTTCTTGATTCGAGCAACCCCTGCAGTGAGAGACTCCTTTTCATCACTGCCTCTGGCCACACAAACACAGAGAAACACACTGGCTAGTTAGGTGCAACCAAGGAACCAAGGGAAGACTGACAGAAATAAGCGCCTCAGTCACCAGAAGAGATATGAGAAACTTCAAAGCTGGAGTTGAAAGTGTAAAATAAGCAGTTCAAGTAATTCTAGCCTCCGTCCTGTGTTGTGCCAGTAAATCATTCACCTGGTGTCAAAATGATGTGAGGTGTCGTATGCATGGTCCTGGCATCTTGTAATTTTAAACACAAATGTAAACTTTTCTCGTGCTGACTACAAGGAGGCTGCCTGAAAAAATATTTGTATGCTATGTCGCCATAGAAACCAGCGGCTCACACCCACACTTCCAGATTTAAAAGAGAGAGAGGCCCAACAGAAACTTCTGTCAAGACATGATGATAGCAGCTCATAACTCCAACCAACTACGTGTCAAACGATGCTCAGGTAATATCCTGAAACACGTTCCTCTCATTCCATTCTGGTTGCCATTTTTATTCTTTGATTTAGCACTACTTAGATTATCATTTCCATGGTCACAACAAAAACATGACAATATGCATTGTGTACAGTACTGGCAAACGATAGGGTTTTCTATGCTCAGTGAAATGTTACTTGGTCATCTGACACCAGCAGTCAAAGCAGCAAACAGCCAGTGGCAGATTCAACAATAGGTTGCAAGAATTTAACTGCATCTACACCTAGTGGATAAAGACATCATCATCACCACAAGATTACCAACACCTACCTGAGCCAACTACCAGTCTTTGTGGAAGAAGTGAAACTAAATACACGCTCTGAAAGTTTACCGCATTTTTTTGGTATTCATACCTTCCTTGAACACTTCAATGTCCTGCTTATTTTGACTTCTACGTCACCATATTTAAGATTGATTGCACCGTTTCCTCTGCTACATTTTTGTGACAATTTTAGTCACTCGCAGCTTTGCAGATTCAGATTATCCAAACATAAAAAAACAAACAAACACAGATGAACTTCCCTGGCAGTAAAGTATTTGAAATTAGCTCAACTTCATCAGCTTGATTTATCACTCATCCTACCAAGTGGGGTACCTGCAGACCCCCAGAGCTACACTTTCTGTCATATCTTATCTGTGCAATATAGATACAATCTGTACAATACCAATACTTCTCTATCAGTATTTCTACTCATGAAGCAATCAGTGCAATACAAGTGATAAATGCAATATTGTGATTTCAATCCAAAGAAATCTGGACAATGTGAACTACACCATTTTGGATTATTTTTCATTTTTCTACTAACATCTGTTAAATATTTGCATTGTTCCATTTGCTGCTGTAACAATGCAATTTTCCTCACTGTGGGATTAAGTAATGGTAATTGTACCGTATCGTACCATATCGTGTCATATCATATCGTATCGTGTCGTATCGTCATAATTACAATTTTGTCAATTATTTTGCTTCAAAAGACTTTTATCATTGTTTCTGTTTTAATTAAGGCTTTTTAAAAATACTTATATTTTGGGGTCCTGAGGGAGGGTCAAAAGCAACCAGTGCTGCTTATACAATTTAAATAGATTAAACTATTTTCTAAACACATTCAATTCCTTATGTGCTCTAAATACTGCTCTTACGATACAATCATAATTTCACACGATATTTTATGACATACACATTAAATGTTTATTATGTGTATTGCAAGATAAACCTGAAATAGTGTGTTATCCACATACCTGACATGCAGTCAGAATATGATCAAAACATGGTGTGAATGTGCAAAAGAAAAAAAGCACAAATGCTGAGAGGGAGGGAACGAGGTAGAGTAAGATTTAAGGTGGTTGGTTTTGTCTATCAGAGTTCCATTTGCTTGGATGTAATATATCTTGAATACTACATATCTGCATAAAATAGTTTTGGATTACATCATTTTGGGGTTTTTTGCCATCAGTGGTAAACAGATTAAGATTACCCACACTCAGTGTTTACTTGAAAGTTCTAACAACAAAATAAAGAATAAAAGGATCATAGGTAAGCTTTAAACTAGACATATGGACTGTATGTACTTTATCATTCCTAAAACACCAATCATTTTACAACTATTGATGTTTTGAGAAAAAAGTTAATATTTTCTCCTATATTAGTTTATTTCTGGGGTCACCAGGCACTCTCTCTGTAGAATAAGTTGTAAGTGATACAATAAGACATGAACAATTAAAATCTAAAATTAGAATATATATTATTCAGATAAGGGCAACTCTGCTCCACAAGTACTTGTTTGACATTAATAACTTAAGTATTATTTGCCCACTTCCTTCACCATGAGATTTGGCCTCACCTTACTTTTAAAGAAATACAAAAAACAGTGATTCATTCTGGAAGTTCCTCTTTGAGTGTCAAAGGCTGGGACGGAGAAGCAGCACTGTAAAGCATGAGGTTAGAATGAAAAATGTTGTGTATTGGACACTAAGAACTAACAGGCGCCCATCCTTCCAATCCACACGCACGCACGCGCGCACGCACCATGTGAACCACATTATTAACTCCTCATAATAAGACCCTTTGGGCACAACAACAGATGCAGATTCTGACATCATATCCTCCTGGATCTCACGCTCACGCCGCCACCAAACACTTCTATTTGTTACAGCAGAGGGGCGTGCTGGCTGCTGCGTGTTTAAGCCAAAATGAAGGTTTCTGACAGTGATGAGATCTGTGGATGTTAACAGTGTGGGGAATTTGAAGGTTGGAATTATTTAAAGATAATTAAAAGAGAGCTGTGATTCAAGCGGGCTTTTCCACAGTTGCATAGCAACACCTAGAAATACATGTTCGTGCTTCCCCTAGCAGCTGTTTAATGAGAAAGTGAAGGTTCTGCAGGTCATAATGCTATGTTTGCAAACAAAAAACACATCCTTTTAGCTTTCCTTCATATTTCAAGTGTCCATAAGTGCATGACTTGGGCAAGAAGCTGTTTAATTACAAGTGAGGGTTCTGCAGACCACCTTTGCTGTTTCATGAAATACATGAAAATAGCTTTTTAAGTGTTAAAATGCTCCTTCGTATGAGAAAATGTCTGCTACTGTGGGTATAAACGTGGGTATCTTCCTACCTTTGTGGTTGAAGAGCCCCTCCATCTCCATGGAGGACCTGGAGTGAGCGATGCAGAGCATGGAGCAGGGTACGATGCCCTCCTGGGCCGGAGAGCGGTCTGTTGTACGGACCAGGCACCAGTCCGGCTTGTCGTGGAGTCGCTCCAGAACCTCCACGGTCTGGCCTCGGCGCACCGTCAGCTCACCATTGCTGCCACCGTTGCTGGCCACAAAGTCGTGGATCACCACTGTCAACTCACAGCCACCGGAGAGCTGGAATAAAAACAACAGATATCTGTAAAAAACGTTGCTTATTTTTTCTTTCTTTCACACACACACGCACGCCAGTAGAATTAAGGCCAGCATATTTGAGATTAACACACTAAATGAAATAGTCATTTATATTTTAGTCATAGGCAGAAAGTGCTGATGACCAGCACAGGAAACTAAATTTTACAGACAAATTTTTATTTGATAATCTTGCCACACATATTGCACGTACATCGCACTATAAATGGATGCCATTTATATGAATTATAGTGCACTTGAGCCTGCACTACAATTTCTTGCGGTGATACTTAATGGAATTAAAAAGCTAATTTTCTCACGCAATATCCTGTGGTAATGACATAGGTCCTCAAGCAGCACTGTAAAAGTGTACATGCACTGATGATTGGTGACTCATTCTAGCTCAAACCAAACAAAACGTCACTCTGACGATCTGACTCTGATCATCTGAGTGTCTATGAAAAGAAAGGCTGTAATAAACAGAGGTAGAACAAGGTGGAATTGGTTCGAAAATATGTTTCCGTTCTACATGCCACTTAAAATGCAGCTGCTTGTTGTGCGTGATGCTCTGAATTCTAGTGGAAGTGTACCAGAATGTGTGCAACTATTGATATTGTACAAACGCATTTAGAAACATTCTGAGCAAGAAAACTTCACATGATTTAAAAGAACGTGTGAGAATTCAGATTAAAAACATTAATTTTACAGGTGGAAAAGTCTTTAAAATAATGTCATAACATTAGTCATAAAATTAAATACCAGCTACACACTCCATACACTACAAACAATTACACATCTTGCTTTTCAAGGTTGACAGCTGCTGTTGTGCTTCTTTTTTCTTTTGTTGTTATGCACATACAGTGTAACGTTCTTTTTTTTCCATTTCATAACATAATAGATCGCGTTGATTATCACAGCAAAGCAAAGCAAAGCCATTTATTTGCAACGTACCCTTTGGTAGTGTGGTAAAGCCAGAGAGCTAAGGAGCTGAGAAACGGGATGTGAGCTCCTCTCTGTCCATTGTCCATTGAGTCTGTCCATTGCTTTCCACTCCCTCATTGCGAGAGAAGTTCCAAATGGCTAAAAAACTCTACACTTTTACAGCAATCCACTAAAATTGTCCTAAATCACACTGAGAAGATGCTTACTGGATAAGCACAAGCTATCTGGAAAATAGTAGCATTTACTCATGTTCTTATGGAGTGTTTATCCTGGAAAAACAGCCCCCGAGTAATAAATTCCTGATAGGTTAAAACATTCCAAAGCCCAGAGAAAAGTTGCTGCTGTCCACAATAATAGTCAACAGCAGTCCTCTGTGGATCCTCACAATCAGACTATTGAAGCTCAAATGAGTCCCTCTTGTATGTCTCTTCCCTGGAGCGGAAGAATGAATCCTTTCTCGCCTTTTAACAATTGTTTCCACAATTTACCTCACTAATGTCCGCTGTGTCGAGAAAAAACACACTAGAAAATTAGTGGAAAAACACGGCGGTTGCCTGAATTTTGAAGCAAAGTGCAAGATCGATAGCTATGAGGACTTAGAACTGTGCTCTCCTGTCTGGCATACAGACGAACATCCTCTGCGAAGAGAGCGTGGGAGGCTGAAGCTGCTGACACACAAGTCAGTCACTAAAGCAGAAACACACACAGGAACAAGAGCGCGAGCACACACACACGTGGTAACACAAACACACCACTGTCATTGCCTTTTGAATGAAAAGCCTCATAGAGTCCTCACACAGGGAGAGAGATAGAGGGAGGCTTTCAAAAAGTGAAAATGAGATGCAAATTTATATCTGCACGTGTTACTGTGTGTTTTGAATGTTTATGCATGTACGTATGGCCCTGAACCAGGCGATCAATGCCTAATTAATGAGCATCAATCAGCGTTTTGACTCAGACGGACAGGTGCAGCCACACAGACACTCCTCACCTTTAGAATTGAATTTCATGTTGCAGCCACAGAGTTTGTGCCACAGTAATAGTTAAATAAACGGCGACAGTGAACACGCTAATTTAGTTATTTCCCTGATTGCAGCGCACGTCCGTGAGGCTGAGCTGGGGGAAGTCCAATTAAAGTGTGAAACCTTGTGTAAATGTGCACGGCTCTAGTTTATAATTAGTATGACATAAAAGCATTAAAAGATTCCTTTTTTATTTATTTTTTAATCTGCGTGTGCTGTGTGTGTGTTTGGTTTACAGTTGATCATACTGAGCGTAGGAGGACAAGCCTTCTGTGGTGCTATTACCAGATATAACCGCAGCCGACCATCCCAGCGAGCTAAGATTTTCTCCCTCTCTCATGCACAAACACACGCACTGTTTTAAAGCTCTGTCAGATGGACTGTTTCTCCCTCATAACGCAATTAAACACTTTCACAGGAAACAACTTCAGGATTCTTGCCTGCATCTTGGCGGCCTGCAGCTTTTGACAATCATGCCAATGTGTGACAGCATTATATGGAGCAGTGACAACAGCTACGTACTGTTTATTTCATGCATCGCCTGGAGATGGAGGTGTGTGTGGTCCTTACCTTATCACTGTCCAGCGTGTTTTGGGATGTACGTGAGGCGATAGAGATGGTATCCGGTTGGCTGCTGGCGTCTCCCTGGCTGTCCAGCTCCTCTCCATCCCTGCAGGCAGAAATGATCATCACAGTTGTCCCGTTATTAGTATGACTAAGACATATTACATCTGCTCTATAGTGTCACCTCTGTTTTTCACCAGTACAGTTGCAATGGTTGACTCAAGCTGTGCCCAGCTGCAGTGTTAACGGTCATTATCATATGACTGACTGGAATGATTTCACTGCTACTGCTGCGTCTTTACAACTGTGTCAATTCTGAAGTTGACAGCATTTCACTTTGAGCTTACCGTCTGCCTTTATGTTTAGTGGTGGTGGCTTTCGGGATGTGAATGGGCTCCTTCAGAGCTCCGCGCAGGTGCACAGTTCGCTCCTGGATGACCTCCCTAATGTGCTTGATCCAGTCCTGCTTGTTCTCAATGCTTGAAGCCTGGAATAAAAAACACGCAGCTTGGTTAGATAAATGTTCAATTCAAAAGCTGTAGCATGTGCAGCTCTTTCATCAGCAGCTTTAGTCAAGTCTTTTAATCCCCTTTTTCAAATAACGGACAGGAACATCAGTGTTAATAACAAATAACAGCAGCTGCCTTGTTCACGTGGCTCGAATGAATGAAGGATTGACCTGTCGACCTGTAACACAGTGTGCAGGTCTACACTATACAGAATTACATCTAATTTAGCAATTATAGTTCAGTCCGATCCCACATAAGTGTTTGATCTTTGCAATTTTGCACTTCACTCACATGTCGGCATTCAGGCACAACGTGAAATGACGACAGCGGTATGTCCTGAGCTTCACCAAGGGTTCCACAGAGCCACTACCGATATGCTTTTTTGTGCTTATTTACGTCACCGAGCAAATGCGTAGACACTGTGCTCAGTTTATAACTACCCTCCTCTGAGTCTTCACTCCCTCTTTCACTTAGCAACCAGCACCAAGGCTGCCGTGCAGCTGAGTTATATAAGATACAGTTTAAGATGGTCATTAGAAATTATGTAATAAGACAAAGAGCTGTACAGCACACATGCCCAAATCGTAACACACACTCTGGGACTTCTTTATCTCTGTCAGTCTCAAAAAACAAACACATTTCTACACACATGCCATGAAAAAAAAAAAAACATTGCTTCTGACTCACTGCACAAGAAGCTGCCTGTGAATTTGGATTGTGACCCATCAACTGCTATGCGAACGTTTCTGTGTGATGAGTGAGTAAGTAGCAGAAAGTAACACTCCACCCCCCTACAGGGACCGAACTTTCTTGGCTGAACAAAAGGAACTATGTAGGATTTAGTGGGGGTGGACCACAGACACAGAGTGACTCTTCCTTACACGTGAACACCTTGACCACTCCTGCACAAGAGGAATCATATGGAGCTATTTTACACTTAGTACTGTGCCAAAGGCGGAAGTGATGAAGCAGAAACATTTCGGGTTCTCAGTTCTAACTTGATCATTTATATCAGTTATTGCTGTACATTTTGTGGGGGGAAAAAAGGGAACAAACTTTTAAATCCAAACTGTTAATGCAATATAAAATACTGCTAATGCCAAACATTGTCATCTTCACCATTAAAATCAACATCTAAGGTACCTTGAGCACAATCTTGTTATCTGACGTCGGGGTCCTGCCCACCCAGAGGGCAAACTTGCAGGGATCTCCCTCCACGTGTTCTGTCACTCCAAGCTCTGACGTCTGATTGGAGGAAAAACATGTGAGCAAACTGACATTATACATAAACAAAAAATGATGAGACACGAGTGTGTAACCTCAGACCAAAACAACGTGTTCGAAGCCCCTTTCAGACACGCACTCCTTTATATTAATTTAACGGCAACTGAATGGTTTCATGTCTGAATGAGCATCCTGGTCACGTTTCAATAAAAGTCAATGGTCCTGCAATGGTAGTGCCAGTAATTTGAGTTGTGTGAAGCAAACTGGTCCAAAAACATTACAGAAAACACAAAAGACAGCATCAAACAAAGAAAATCTTTTCTTGTTCACTTTGCTCTATAATTTCACATCTATAGCAACTCAACTGTCCATAAAAATGACACTTTATCACGAAGACGACAGTCTGTAACAGGTCAAATTGATTGATTTATCAGAAACGAATGCAATCCAGGATTTACGAAGCTTAGTGAAGGTTAGTTTGTTGCTTTCAGCTATTTCTGAGTCCTTCAACCTTAGTTTACTGAAAACCTGCAGCATCAAACAGCAGCTGGATTCAAACAAAGCGCGAGAGTTGTCCACATTTGCGCACGTGGAACAACAGCAGAAACCTAATTGCGTAGGTATAATTATATTTTATCCCTGACATGGACACAGGATTGATCAGAACCTAACAGCAGGTCAAACTGTGTACTTCTCACATGTATCAAAATGATTGCATGTGGAGCTTTGCTCTCTCTTTGACTGTCAAGGGTATTTCTGAAAGAAGCTGTGAAAAAAATTAATATAAAAGTGGCCTATGTCTGAAAGACAGAATGCTGTCACTTTAATAGATTGTTGAATCCATGATGTCATATGTCCCCTGTCTGAAAAGGGCTTTCGAGAGTCAGACATGTCTTTTTTCCAATAAATAAGACCTGATAGAACAGAGCATTTCTTACAAAGAGCTTGCTCTTGTAGAGGTATTTGCTGCGCCCGTTGGAGTCTTTCACTTCTTTGCTGAAAACCAGGGACATCTCAAAGAGGAAGAGGTGTCGGTCGCGACCCTTCCGGATCAGAGTCTTGGGATCCCAAACCTGGAAGGACTCCTGCAGTATCAACTCTCCCTGGGAGTCGATGTTCCCATCAAACCCTGAGGTAGTGAAAGGACAGAAGGAAATGAACAATTTCGTGGCATTTGCATGTTTGTACAGTACATACACAAGTGTCTGTGGGTGGTAAATGGAGGCAAGTTGAATTAAGTTATTTCTGACTCACAGCTGAGTAATTTGCGCTCAATGACCATTAAAAGTGAGCGTCATTATTCGATTCAAAAAGCAAAGCACAGGTATCAAAAATTATGCATGTGAGTTCCATTAACAGCAAAAGTGTGTGTATGTGTGTGTGGTGTGTGTGTGTGTGTGTGTGTGTGTGTGTGTGTGTGTGTTACCCACCATCCAGCATAGAGAGGTGCATGGCATCGTTGGCTTTCTTGGGGACACTGAGCATCACTTCAAGACCATCCTTGATCTCACCTTTTCCCTCCTCACAGCAAGTCAACAACTCCTACAGTGGACACACACAGACACAAACAAACACAGTGTCATTTGAATGACGATAAAATTGTAATGAGCACTTTTTGACGACAGATTCCATTCTGCCAAAATGAATACTGTTAGACCAGATATTCTTTCCTTTAGATTTATTTAAACACATGCTGTACCTTGAGAAGCAGCTGGTATTTTGTGATTCTTTGGACTGGCTTGATCAGGTAAGAGGAGATGGAGTTGGCAAGACGATGCCTTTGCTGGATTTCCTATAAATCAAAAATGGAAAGAGACAAATGTCTTACACAGACTAAGACATTATACTGATTCATGCACTGTGGTGCCAAACCATAGGAGTAAACAAATACATACATTTTAAAGAGAATGAATCTCGCATATCCTGCTGCAGATGTATTTACACCTAAATGAACACATCCTAGCTCTAAAATCACAAGTTATCATACATTAGGTTGTACTTACATCAAAGTAGGGGCCAGCATGTTCCAGGATGAGCTGAGTCGAGTCTGGCTTGTTCTTACAGTAGTTCACATACATCTGGAACTTATCAGCCTTTGCAGGAGAAATAACATCAATATTTCACTCACAAGATACCAAAAGTCCTGGACGCTAAACAAAAATGCAAAGAAAAACGTGCAACTTTCCATCAGCCTACAGTGCTGTATAAGCTTTGGTATTTAAACAAATTAAAGATCTAATCTCATAAAGCGTTGAGGAAAACAAAGCAAATGAAACAAATTTGCAAAAGTTTGAGCAGAACGGAAACAAACTCAAATATGCAAAGATAACATTTTTGGAATATGTCTTACCCAGGTCACAAAACAATGGCCCACATCCTCTGGAAGCTGCTCATACTTCTCCAGCTCCTTCAAGAAGATACTATAAAGTAACAGAACGATTTAGAAACTAAATCAAAGGATCAAATTTGACATATTCGCTATTCTTGCAAACTTAAAATGTATAATTTGATATTAAAGAATACAGAATAACGCAGATCACTGCATTACTGACTTGTGATGAAACTCATAGAGGTCCTGCATGTTGCCAAAGATGATGTGTTCTTTGTTGACAATACCAGGAGGAATCTCCTCCACACCGCTGGTCATTTCCCACAGGTAGGTCTGCATTAACAAACACACCAGAGCATGATAAAAAAAAAAAAGTATCTAGACATATCCCTATAATATCGCAACAAAAAGGAGCAGAGAAAAAGTATAACAAACAAGAAAATTTAAATGTAACCAACCCCTCTGAATCTCAAGTGCTTTGTGGTTTTTTTTTTCCTCCTGTCAGTTTTTTCTCACCGTGGGCTCATTTTTAACTGCAATATAAAGGCCTGCAAGTGTATGGAAACAGCATGTCTTCTGTGTGAAATGGCACACTTATAATACCAGAAATCATAAAAAGAACAAAACAAAGGTCAAATTTATTTTTTAAAAAATGGTGGCTCTACAGGCTATAGGTATTTATTACTTACACATTTTAATTTTTTTTCACACTCCAATCACTCTGTGTAAACACAAGCTACAGCTCAGCCCAGTTCAGTCAAAAAGTTTCAGATTTTTTGTGCCATTACTGCTAATCACAGGTGAGTCACTAATAGCTTCATGGTTGCACTGAGGAGCATATTTGCTTTTTTATTTATTTATTATTTTTTGACAGAGTCTGACTATAACAAATTAATTCTTTTTGACCATTTTTGAAATTAGACATGTGAAAAGAATAAAAGGATTTTGATAAAATATTAAGATTTTCACATTTTAGATCTGAAAAATCTTCCTGATAGGACTTCCTGATAAACTCACACACGAGTAGTTCAAGGACCATCGTAGAGTTGAAAGGCTGATGATTCATTCTGTTTTTATAGTTTTTGGCTCTGATAAATGGTGCAATTTTTGCATTTTTTAAAAAAGAAAACATGCCTTTTAAACCTCTTGGCAGACTTACGGGTCCACAGGTTCAGGATGAAGGATGAAGACTTTGTGCAAAACATTTTTAAATAAAAGTTTCTATGTGTGTGACTTCCACAATGCTTACATCCATACACTCTCGTAGGTCTCTGACGTAGGCTTTCTCTGTCTGAATCAGCTCAGCCATTATAAATCTGCAAAGAAATGAGAAGAGGAGACACTGCTAAACATGATACGGGTCTGTAGCTGAATAAAAGAAAACTGTAGTAGAAGGAAACAAAAAAGACTCCTCAGATGAAACTGAACTCTGCAAAACTAAGCCAACAAGAATTGAAAAGATTCTACTCACTGTCCCATTTCTATTGTTTGTGACTACTGTGGTAAGTGTTATACACAAACACAGAATGGTGTGATTACAAGGCTGTTGAAGAACAAACCTTGAAGTAACTCTTCAGTCACTGATTAAACCACTAACAATGTGTCTCTTTGTATAAAACACATTTAGATTTTTTGCTTGCTTCCTTTACAATGTGCAGATTTATGAAGTCCTCAACCGCTCACTGCAGCTTGAGCTTACCAGCTTACCTACAACTCTGCTCAAACACTGTAAAACTATACTACACAATCACAGGTTGAAGCATTTCAATAAATCAGGCATACATGTTCGAAGAAGAATAATGATACGGAAGTCATACACTCAAAGCAACAAGTTAGGAAGCTTGCTTTTTCCAGAAGGGGTCTTTAAAATCAGCTATTTCTGGTTAAATGTACTTACAAGTAACCAATTCTTATTATTTTTGCACAATAACTTTTTAATGTCAGCATGTACTGGATTAATCAAGCTGATTCACGTAGCAGACAAATTATAAGTTAACAGTTCAAAATTGAATGTGCAGCCTTCACATTTTGACATTAAGCCACAAAAAAAACAAACAAACAGTTATTGCCTTATACCCAAGCATCTACTCTACATAACATGTCTTCAAGACACAGGTTAAGAGAAATACAGCAGTGCTGCAGAGGGAGAATGCATTACAACTGCCATATGGTTGACTTATTGGTTATGAACATATGTACTGCAGTTTACCGGCTGCTCATTGGCTCCATACTGTATGAATTTCCCCCATAAACCAATAAGAGCCACTTTTATGCGGCATCAGGAACATTGAGCATTTTGTGATAAGTGCTCGTAAGGCAAATTAGCATTTGAATTCGTCATGCGCCATAAACTCCATCACCATTTGTTTACACACTTGATTGGATTTGAAGATTTTAGCGTTCACAGTCATGCCCTTTTGTTGTCTTGGTAATCTGACGTTAAACTCCACACAATCCTAACAATATGAAATGAAAGCTTGGCTCAAGCTTTAAAATGCTAATCTGACTGAAAAATAATATGTTTTTCATACATTGGCCAGGAAGGACTGAATGACTCATCCAGGCCTGCGGAGGAAACATGCATGGGATCACGAAAGTCAGGTGTGATCAGGAAAAAAAGTCTCTTACTCTTTTCTTCGCGCTGATTTCCTCTTCTCCTCGTTGAGCTCATGGGCAGCATCCCTCAACTTGACCTCTGACCCCGGAGCACTGGCTGGGATGATGTCCAGTTGTAGCTCTTTACTCTGAAAACACAGGAGACAGTGGCTATTGTGTGGTGTATTCAGTGGTCATTCAGTCGTCAACACACCAGTGTTCGATGGATTTGCTTACTCTTAGTAGCAGTTTATGAAATTGAAGTGTTGGGAGATGGAGTTAAAAAACAAACATGCAGTGACAGAAGGTAGGTCTGAGGTCTACACTTAAACTAATAAATTAAGTAAATCCAGTAGTAGGTCATATTATTACATTAATTACATGAAGCACTACATGATTTTGGAAAGGCTGGATGCCAGAGTATATAGTTATATCTGTAATTTTATAACCTGTGTCACATGTATGTATGTACATTAGTCGCTCTACAGTCTAAACACACAGCATAAACCCAAGGACTCCTCATATGACATAAAAACGCAGTTAGCCCATCAAAAGGTGTTTGAAAGACCAGATCTGACATTATTAATGGCAAGCACTCACAGCCTTGTTTGAGTCAGAAGAAATGCCGAGCGCCGTTTCCAGGCAGGTTCGGTATTTGTCCATGCGGAGAGAGAAGTCCCTGTAGCGCTTGTCCACCGAGGACACCCATTTCTTTATCTCCAGGGCATGGGCGTGGCCCTTGTCACAAAACCCATCCGCCAGCTGGATCAACAGCTTTACCCGCTCTTTGGTTTGCTGTCAATAGAGAGACATTTAGGGAGGGGACACAGATAGAAAGAGAGAGAGATGGCAGCAGAGGAAAGGTAGATGATAGAGAGAGAGAGAGAGAGAGAGAGAGAGAGAGTTAGGAATCAGTGTTGCTTGATGGACACAATAGCTTGTTCTCTAACACAATAACAGTGACACAGCAAAGAGGCAACTGGACAATACACCACCCTGGGAATGGGCCTCACAGCAGAGTGCACAACTGCGCAAACAAACACACAACGTGTCAAGCAGAGTGGAAAACACAAACTCGTTCCATCCCTCCACCTCTATTTCCACCTTTGCAGATAAGTAAACGGACATAAGCACGCATACCTTTGCTGTGATCTGGAAGTCTTCGTGCTCCTTCAGCAGCTCCTGTGTGTGGTGAATGCTAGACCCAGTGGATGTGTGTGTGGACAGGTAAAACTCCCCAGTGTCGTGGATCCACTCCAGGGCCTGAGGAAACAACCAATCACAAGTGAGAGCATGGACACGGCAGGGATTTCAGTTGCACAATGTGACACAGTCTCTATGAACCATCCAGCTAGTTGACTTAAAACTTTCGGAAGTACAATAACATTAAGGCCAAGGTTATAATTAATGTCACACCCATCTACTCCCTTTACTTTCATTATCTTGCTTACATTTCTACAGATTGGGGTTTATGTTTGCCCAAAGGATTGCTTTAGAATTCAGGATTTAGGAAAGTTGACGTCTTTATAATTTTCAAAACAACAGCACTACATAGGATTTTTTAAGACAAGTCATATGGTAAATATGTAGATGCAATTGGTTACCAGTTAAATATTAAATATATAACTTATTCATACATTTAAAGAATTTATTTTGAAACTCTCTCCTTAGTTTGCATTCTTTCTATAGTTTCTGTACTTTGAAACTGTTCCTGACAAACAGTGGCAGAACTGGTCCAGGCAAACTGTGACACCAAAAAGCATTTTAGCCCTGGGGATAAAACCTGGATAGCCCTAGAATAGCCATGTCCTAGAAACATGTATGATGTCATCTGATTTTATTGGCAAAGCAAACAGCTCCGTGTGTGCGTTATGCTGTCCACACACCACAAGAGGGAGCCAAGTGTCTTGTATTAAAACAGCCTTAGGTACTCTGGTACACAAAAACAGAGTTAAGAGCTTAAGTGCCACAGATTCTCCCTCGCTTTGGCTTTTTGAAAATAAAGACTTTCCATCACTCATGTTTAAATAAAGCACTTCAAATGTCAGCACAGTCTGTGGAGCATGAAGACATCCTGGCTGCTGCTGTAAACTGTACTATCCAAACTCCTCTTGCAGATCCATGAATGTTGAAACAATAACTGATCTGATGGAGAAATGTCGAGAGTGGCTTGACCTGTCATCCTAGCACTGATCGCTTATTCTTCCAAAAGAAGATTGCAAAGTTTTGCAATCGAAGTCCCAGAGGCTAACATGTTCAGCACTGCCTGAGGGGGGAAAATGAGTGGTTGGAGTCGTATTTTTGGAAATGCTTTGTAGTGAGCGCAGTCTTTAAATTTACTGGGCCACATAATGATAGCCATCTTTAAGACTGTCATTTCTGCCTGGTTACATCACTTCCAACGTATTTCGAATGTATCATTACAAAGAAACACTGACTGCATGTTTTCTTTCAAAAAGAAAAGACAAAACAAGATGGGTGTTGCAGCTGACTGCTTGCTGAGCAAAGTCAACATGTTGATGCAGAGAAAATCAATCATATATCAATGAGGAAGGTTAATTCTACTTTATTTGTGTGTAGTGAATTGAACACCACGATGTACCGACCCACTGAGCCTTACGATCAGATTGTGCACACATAAACGTATAGACACAAGCACGCACCTGTTTGGCACTGCGTTCAAACACTACATATTGCTGGCACTGGTCCAGCCTCCGCTTCCTCATGGTCCAGAAGTGGAGCACTCTGTTCTCTCTCTGCAGCAACTCATTCAAGATATCTGATGAAACAACACGAGCACTTTGTTTATTCAGAATTACTGCATGTCACCTTGTAAATATCTTTGTGTGACACAGAAACTTTGGGTGTTATTGAGTTGTTTACTTACTCTTAACCTGAGTCTCTGGAGCTTTGACGTGGGACAACATGCCCGGCATGTTGACACTGTTTCTGTGCAGGTACTTCAAGAAAACATCAGCGTTACGTCTGGCTAACGTACAGGCCTGTAAGTGTGTAGAAAGAAGACACGTCTCAACAGAGTCATATCCTTCGTATGCATCACTGAAATATAGTTTAGAAATCACAAAAAAAATGGTTTGACATTCTGAAACAGCTTTATCTTTCTCACCTTGAGGAATGCCTCTTTCTGCTCCAGATGCTTGCTGATCATAGGAGTGACATGGTCCGACTCGCTGTTGGGGCCCAGTTTATCAGCTCCACCACACCAGTCTTCTTCTCTCTTATACTCCTGCTCCAGGCTTTCTAACACGCTGCACACCTGAGACAGAAATCACACAGTGCAGTTTATGAAACGGTTCTGCAATGAAGCAGTAATCATCCTCTGGTCCTGACTTTAATGCACCCTGGGTCTGTTAATCCCTAAGAGGAACCGTCTAATCACAATCTGATCCTGCAGACAAAGGCTTTCCAGGACTACTGACACTGAAAAGGGAAAGTGTCATTTTTATAATCTATTTTTTTTTTGTTGTTGTTGTTTTTACTGAAACTCACTCTGGTTCGAGATCATATGTGACACACTTCAGCACCAGTTTGAGTTGGTAGCACCAACTTCCACACATACATGCACGTAAATGCAGATGGAAGTACCTGTTCAGAGGTCTTGTAGAAGGCCACAGAAGCATTAACCAGCTTCAGCCTGTCCTCCATCTTCAGCATCAGCTGCTGCCAGTGATCTGCCACCTTCCAGCCAGACAAAACAAATCAGTTTTCCACTTATAACGCTACTGCCCTGCCTACATTGATTTTCTAAATTTCCCCTTAGAGACAAGTAAAACTGTGAGTGAACAATACCTTTTCTGCACAGTCTCGGATCATATCCATGTCATAGTGGTTGGCCTGCAGCAGGGCCTCAGCTTTCTGCTGTACCTGCAGCGCACTCTGATGGGTTTTCTGCATGGAGGACAAATGTGAGATGAAAAAATAATGAATTTCAACAACTATATGAAACTCTACATCAAAATGATTGCTTCGAAAATACAGTCTCCGCTCCATGCTGGCCCCGCAGGGCAGTTTGGTGTAGACGTGAGGACTGGGGAGCAACAGAGTAAAGGCTAAATAAATAAAAGCAGTGTCTGATTACAGCTGTGTCATAAAGATTGTCCTAAAGTGAGCATTCTGGAGAGGAAACAAGATAGGGGTAAAGAAAGAGACAGTATCTGGTGATTTGTGTCAGAGCAGTTAGCCTGAGAGAAAGGCTTTTGCTCCTTGTTGGACTCAGAGCACTGGAGGGGAGGAGAAAAGAAGGAGATAAGAGAAAAATGAAGGATTTCCTCCCACCTTTAATAATGTTAGTGTGGCATATAATTTGTAATGTCTGCAGCACCTGCTGGGTACAGTCAAGGAGGACATTCCAATATCACTTTCTCTTTTCTCGCCCCGCAGGACCCATTGTGGGTGTCAGCGACGACAGTTACGGCATCTGTGTTCAAATTCCAGCCTCAAGTAAGCAATAATCATAAACACAGCTTTCTCCAGAGTGTGAATCTTTGTGCGTATGTGAGCTCGGTAGAAGTAGGTCAGGTGCAGGCCTGCATTAAAATGAGCCAGGCTCGATAAGAGTTCAAAGAAATGCACCCTGCATAATCAGTGATAAAGAGAAGCAGGAAATACAGAAAAAAAAGGTAAGCAGTGAGAGAAGAGAGAGAGGTTGAGATATTAGTTATTCATAATTCCATTTCATGTGTGACTTGCGACGAGAAGGAGAGGAGGTGGAGACAGACATGTACCTGAAAAGAGTTTTAGAAAGGCAAAAGGTTGATGGATGAAGGGCAACAAAGCAATAGAAAAGCAGAAGTGAGTGGAGAGGGAATTGGAAGAATGGAAGATTAATAGATGGGATTAGGGCACGTGTGAGGAAAGAAACATGCAAAGCAAACGTGGTCGTGAACATACTGCTCTGGTTTACTCTAGTGTAGGAGGGCAAAACAAAACGCAGAAAAAGCTTTACCTCTATTGCATGTTGAAACTGTTCGTGCTCCTTTTGCAGCTGTTCGGCTTCTTGTAATGAACTGGCTGTGATCAGACCAGCGTTCAGCATGGACTCGCCATTACGGATCCAACCCAGCACCTACATGAAGAAAAGTTCAGAATCTTTATTATTCTGTGTTTTTTGTTGTTCTTGTTGTTGTTTTTAAAGATTGCTATTCATTTTACTGACATTATGGAGCCCCCCTGAAAGACATAAAACCAAAAACGGACCAGTCATTTGCAAAACAGTGGAAGCTGTTCCCCAGAGTTTTCTTCTCTTTCAGCTGCTCATCATTTTTTTCCCATCAATTTTCTTTACTGCTTCTCTAACCGTGATGCCAACTCTTTCCCGTACATCCTCGGTGCTCCCATTTCAATCCCGTATCTCTCATCAAATCTCACTTTCCCAGCCTCCTGACTCTACCCTCAACTTTGCCTCTTTCTCCTCTCTGCACCTCATCTCCTCATCCACTGTAACACACTTCCCTCCTCACACACACACACCAGATACACACAACATCGCATTTGCTCATACTTCTGCTGGCCTACTTCTAGCCAAAGGGTAGTCTGACAAAGACACCTCCCTCCCTCTCTCCATGACTCAGCAAGCACACCTGCTGTGTGGGTGAAGGGCAGAACTGCAACTGATGCTTTGGCTATAAAAGTGATGATGCAACGCAACACTGACTCCTATTTATTGAGCTTAAACTTCAAGAGGGCCGATGTTTCCGTCGCACTCGCAACGTCCTGCGGCGAGACAGGCATGCATGTTTTATTGCAAATTTATTCCAGACGAGCTTCATGCACACGTGACGTGACTGTATTGCGTGAACAGATAAAAACTTGTGTAAACAAACAGCAGTGATCCGAGCAATAATATGCATACTATGGGATTGCTTCTTCCAGAGCGACATACCACTATGGCTCACATTTCAAAATTGTATCGTATAACTACAACTGACACCAAATTACTGTAATTACACTGCTTTTATCTTTGCCAGAACCCTTGTTATAGCCTGATTTCCTTTTCATAAGCTGTGTCATAATTACATAAAGAAAGCAGTTCTAATAAATAACCATCTCCGAGTTCGGGACAGGCAAAAACAAACAGAAAACCCACTAACAATAGCCAATTTAGTGCAGTGGTAACGTCTGGCCGGGACTTGAAAGGCTGCAATATTTATACGTAAATCAGGAGCATAAATACACAGGCTACAATTACCAGATTATGGTTGTGCCCAACTTTAGTTTAACAGGGTGCAGTTGCATTCACAAGATTCAGAGTGGAGAGTGTAAAATGTACATTATAAAGCGAGCTGAAGGTCAAGCAATTCAGATTTTGTAGCTTCTAGGCAAAGAAGCAGTTTATGTTTTTGTGTACATCTGCACACATAACATCCTCTGCTTGTGAAGGCCGCTACACAGACAGTGGAGAAAAAATAACACAATCACATCATACGGTCAAACCTGTTCAATCACTATCATTCTGAAATGTTTGCCCCAGTACTCCTTAGGTCTAATTTTGATTATTTTTGGTTTCAGTTTTATTTCTGTTGCTACATTTGTACAATTTTTGTACAATATTTGATTAAATCTATCGCAATCTGATGCATGAAGCCAGTTGTTATTTGGCTGCACTGCTGCTATAGAATAGAATAGAATAGAATAGAATAGAATAGAATAGAATAAAACTTTATTGATCCCTTCGGTGCAAACCTCACGGAAATTGTTATACTAGAAAAACAACACAACATCAACACAACATCAGCAACAACAGTAAATATTCAACAACAATAGTAATAATAATAATAATAATAATATAAGAGCCCTTGTGGTGAAAATTGCTGCTATGTTTGTTTTTGTTTTGCTCTGAAACATCAGCAGGCGACACGGCCCCACACAGTTGTCTTTGTTGTAACTGTGTTCAACTACTGAATGAATACAGGGAGGGGACTGCTAGTTGACATGCTCTTCACTGACACAACAATAAGCAAAGCAAAGAAATTTTATGTCTTTTTCTCCGTATCAAGCAGGAATTTATGCTTCCCGGTTGTTTGCTTGTTTGTTTTTTGCTCAGATTTTCCTTTTACAGTCCAGACCGAAAGTTTTAGGTCAATTACACTTGAATGTACTTCTGTATATTCAGTGTGACGTAAAACAACAACATGAAACTACCAAGTCTCAGCTTCAGTTTCAGTTTTATGTAAATATAGAAAAATCTGTTTGGGAGAGATATAGATCTTTTCACAGATATACATGGAATCAAACTAAATCAAATGTAATATTTTGTGGAAAATCCTTTGAAGTCAATGATGGCCTGAAGTCTTCATCATCAGCAGACTATTTATCTCTTGTAATGTTTTTCTAGGCTTTCACTGCAACCACCCTGAGCTTAGCCCTTAGTCCGGTCTTCAGACTAAGTGGAATGCAGCTGAGTCAGACTGAGATCAGGTGATTGACTCAGCCAGTCAAGGATATTCCACATCTTCACTGTGAAATTCTCTCTGCTTGCTTTGGCTTCAAGTTTAGGGTTGTTGTCCTGCTGAATGATAAACGGTCGTCCGTTCGCTTTTTGATGCATTTGGCTGAATACGAGCACACACAGAGCGCTCCCGTGTCCCTCCGCATTTATCTTGCTGCTTCCGTCAGCAGCGAAAATAAATGCCAGTGTGCGGGTCCCATTGGCAGCCATGATGAAGTGCTATGCTTTGGGTTATGGGCCGTTCCTGTTTTCGCCACACTTTCCTCTTTCCATCATTTTGACAGAGGTTCATTTTTGTTTCATCAATCCACAAAACTTTGTTCTACAACTCTACCAGTTACTTTCTCTATTTTATTTATTTATTTTTTTGAAAACTACAATTTAGCTTGCCTGTTTTTGAGGCTTACAAGGAGATAGCGCCTTGTGGTGAATCCTCTGCAGGGCATATACACAACTGCTGACTCATTATTATCTTTTGTACTTGCATGGTCATCTCTTTACCCTTCATATTGACACCTCCTGAATCAAAAGTCCAAAAAGTCTAAATCTCCCACACAAGCCTCCACAGAGCCTGAAGAAAACAACATGTAACCGTCCAAATACTTATGGTGTGGACTGTATCTCTGTCTCTCTTCATACTTTGGCTGAAGGTATAAAGAGAGACTCCAAGGAAAAGACAGAGTGAAGTGCACAGAGAGAGAAAAAAAGAGGAGTGAGGTATCGTTGACACAGGATGAGTCATGAAGCCATGGTCATGTACAGACAGAACATACTGGAACCTTCTGCACACACGAACCCATTCGGCTACAACATCATGGTATGCTGTAGCAGCAAATCGCCAGAATGGCATTTTTGACTCATCAATCTCAGCACAGTCTTGCGGGGAGAACATGAGAGGTAGCCCTAGATGTGTTTAGTTCCGAAATGCAACACATGTGAGCATTTATCTGGGCACATGTATGAGGTCTATTTTTAATTAACACTACAAAAAAATATATATTTCTATAACATCAAAACATCAGCATATGGTGTCAGATTTTGTGAGTATGATGCAGGGATTGCTCTTTCAAAAGTAAAAAGTTGAGCTCCTTTTTATCGTGGTTTTAAAGTGTGATCAAATTCCCGCCTACACCTTCCAAACACTGCTTTAATGCTGTATTTTTGTTTCACCCTCTTTTGTCCTTTCCTCACTCAAGTACGTACCTGTTTGACTTCAGCCTGTAGATGCCTTAATTGGACACACTGCTCCAAGTGTCTCCTGTGCTGCTCTGCTGCCAAATCCAGCTCCTGCTGCTTCTCATGGAGAAACTCCAGCAGGTCCTGAACCCGCGTGGCCATGTCCACATCTCTGTCGCATAACAGCTCCACGCCTGCAAAAAAACAACAATAAACCAAAACATTACAACTTTATAGTATGTTACCAATAAAAATCTTTTTCTTATTATCTGTTTATTTTCAATTATTGACAGCCTGACTGATATGAACGAAATGCAGAAAACGACGTAATTTAGAAATGGTGCCACCACACAGTTTGTCCAGCAGAATGTGCTCCAGCTCCATTCTTTACAAAACTCTCAGCACTGTCTGCAGTACATGCAGCAGAGAATGCATCACAGGTAAACAGCTGGTGGTTTGGAGTAAAGCAGTGTCAGTAGCTGATACATGAATACTGGTCATTTTTACCCTCTAAAAATCGTTGTTGGCACTGGTCCCAAAAGTCCAGTATTACTTTTATGTTCCAAAAATATTCACTCGAAGATCAAATATTGTTTCTGATGAATCCTCTGGCTGAATCTCCTGCTGAATCCACACACTCACATAGGTATAAAAAAATGTTATTCATGCATGTACTTTTTGTCACATTTACCTCCATCTATGGAACAACAGCACACATAGTTAGATATGATGCATTGTAAAAACACTTTACAATGGGTTTATATTAAAGCCAAGCAGGCAGTAAAATCAATTTTGCGGGAGATGACTAAATCTGTACAATTTCTGTAATGAACTCTAAACTTGACTCACATTTAGTCCATAGCAGCTCTGTTTGCCAGTTGAGATGCTAGTTGCATAGCCAGCCCTGTTACATAATTACTGTCCCGAGGCAGAGGTAGTTCTTGAACATATGATATCATTAAGGTTACCGCTGAGCTTCTCACATCAGGCCAACAATCTCGTTTCTCTGCATCTCTTATTTTAATTACACTTGAGTTGTTTTGTCTTGAGACTTTGCCCACTTTTTCATTCTCACGTATTTATTGCAATTAGCACACATGCCTCGGCTCGTAAAGTTAGAACGAATGTGTACTTTCAACATATGGCAACACATATGTGAATGTGTAACTGGTCTAATTAGCCCGTAAAGCGATTTTTTTGGGGGGATTTTTTTCCTTTATTGCAGTGTTGATAGAACAAGAAGGTCCAATCGGTCCATAAGAGGATATTTCAGCCCATGTGGTGGCACCCCAGCCTCTCGGACACCAGGTCGGTCCCCCCCCTTCAGTAAATACGTTAGATTTCACTGAATTTCTTTTCCCTCACTCACCGGATGCCTGGACCTCTGTGACATACTGCAGCAGCTCTTGTCCCTGATGGATGACGTCAAAGGTGAGGTTGTTCATAGTGAGCGCTTTGTCTGCATGATGCTGTAGCCTCTGTTCAGCCAGCGTTAGATCCTCTGTATCAAAGTCACTCATCTGCTGGGACAGTTCCTCGTTCCATGACTCCAGGTCTGAGATGATCTGAGGAGAGGTCGAGGCAGAGAGAATAAGAGCCAGGGACAGTTTTAAAGTCATTTGCAAAAAGGAAGAAAAAAATAAAAAATGACCCGAGAGAAACTACGAACATAATTACAAAAACAAATTGAAATAACTGTGAATATAAATGGCTGAATTTCTTTTGCACTTCAAGATAGGAGTACAATTAGCCTCTAATTCATCCATTTTCACACACACTCGCGCTGAGCTACTGTTCAAGGTGCTGCGTTGACCATCGGGAGCAATTTGCTCCTGAGCCACAGCTGCAGTGAATTCCAGTTTGAAATTACTTTGCATGAATATTTTACTTTATTTGACAGTGAAAAAAAAAAAAAAGGAAAGCTAGTTTGACTGAATTATTAACCCATGACATCAAGGTTTCACGATGGAAGTATTAAGAGACGAATTGTGATGCCTGAGAAAGAATATATTCACCAGCGAAAACACTCAAAGCACAGAAGAAAAAAAAAAGCACAGCGGTTTAATTATCCAATATAACATTGTGATTAAGAGCATTTCTGAATACCAGCTCAGACAGTTTAAACCGCTGTAATCCAACACCTTACTGACTTGTATAATAACGGAACATATTACGGTGGTAATGCATGGCTGGCAGAGCAGATGTACCGAGATGTCAGCGCTTGTCTCTTACAGCCCACACACACTGAATCATGATACCAGGGGCACCTTGATCCTGGCACCATTCAGCTCTGTCTGTCAGTTCTTTGTTTATTTGTTTTTTACAAGGAAGTCTAGTCTACACTTTGTTTCAGAACACATCCACCTCTTGCTCAGGTATATATGGAGTAGCTGAAATGTCAGATAGTGGTCTTTATTTATCTTAAATGAGGAGAGAAGTAGCCCTGTTATTCAAAACTCAATTTTAATGACAACTTCTCCTTTGTGTGTAAGCATATTTTAATATAATCATCCTGAAATGAATCTTCAGGATCAGGTATGGTGTGGAATTACATCCTCTCAGATTTATACCACTGGGAGTGACATTTACGGCACTGTAGCCATAACATGATCCACGAAGACAGAATCGAATGATCAGATTTCAACATTCGTGCTCTACTTTGGTGACAGGATCGAAGCCTCTCCAAAGGTCTGACCCCAGTGTCTGTTCCACATTCAGCTGTTCGCTAACCTTACAAACGCATTGAAAGAATGTATCAATTAGTTACTAGAGTTACCACAGCCCTGACAAACGGACGTCAATGTAAGTCGTAAAAATATGCCATGCAGTAGCTCCTCACAGTGGTAAAATTCAATCTGTGAGCATGAATGAAAATGAAAATGAGATGCTTTGCCAGCTGTCCTCATCGCATCACAAACTGCTATCTTGTGTCTCAGAAGACATTCGACAATGAGGCAAAATAAGCCGAGGGACAGGAGAGCTCAGTGAGGTTCAGCGTGAGACAGAAACAGTGACACACACAATGTCAAAAAGTGTTGAAAGGAAGATGGTGCTTGCCATTAGTGTAATTATACGTTACTAGACTACAACAGCCGATGCCATGTTTAATTTGCTCTTGGCCACTTCCGCTGGCCAAAGCTGATCCTGTCAAAGTATGTTATAAAACAAGAGTGCAAGAGATATTTGATTCATAATGGACACGTATAATACAATGATAAAACTTTCAAAAGGATGCATTTTAGCAAAAAACATTTATTGCAGCCTCAGCATATAGCAGTGCATAATTAGAGATTTTTTGGATGCACAATATTAAGGGAGCACCAGGAATAGTCCGTTTTTTTTTACAAACTTTTTAAATTCCAGCTCTTAAATGTTGACTATTTTCAGGTTTCTGTACTGCTCTATAAGATTAAACTAAATATGTTTGGGTTGTGGACAAAACAAGACAACTGAGGACATCATCTTGGGCTTTGGGAAGCACTAATTAACATTTTTGTTTTACCATTTTCTGATACTTTATTGATCAAACATCTTATTGATTATTCGACAAAATTAATCAACAAGAAAAATAGAATCTTGTTCCTTATCAGGGAGTCACTGAGCTGCAGTAAGTTTTGTGGCGGGGTTTTGTCGTTGGCGCCAGCACAGAGAAGGTTTATGTATGTGTGTGTGTGTGTGTGTGTGTGTGTGTGTGTGTGTGTGTGTGTGTGTGCGACAACAGTGAACTTCAAACTTCTTTCAAATACACAAGAAAGAAACCACAAAAGGAAATCTCTAAAAACAAGAGATTGTCTTCTAGGTATTTCTGTAACTCAACACGTAAAGCGATGCACTGTATCAGCTGATGTGGATTCACAAAGTAATTTGCCAAAACTGGTCCAAATACAGGAGCTGATTACTGTGGCAAACGTGGAAAATAATTTTTGTAGTGGCTAAAGTACTTTCTGGAAGCACAAAAACCAGGAAAATGAAAATGCATATTGGAAATAATCGGCTACCAACATTACTTATATTTTAATGTACAACAAGGACCACTTCCATGGACGACCGCATATTTAGCTCCACAATATTTCAAGTTAATGTCAGCATTCAGTTTTCCGTTTTCACCTTATGATTGATAGCACCAGACTTGGAGGAGGACTACATGGCAGAGAAAGCAACTAGTTTTGTTATTTAAAACCCTACAGAAACACAATACATGGAGGTCTGCATATACCTCCCCACTGGATATACAGAAAGTAAGATAAACCTCTTCTGCAATAAAGAACTTCATCCTATCTCCACATCAAAACATGTACGTGCTTCATGTACAGTAGGAATTCGGATTTACAGAAATTCCCCTGCCGCTGCATAGACGTGGCTTTATTTATAACAGAGTAACCCTGTCAAGCCATTTCATAGCACAATCATATACAAGACTCTCTTCTAACTAGGGTGATAATTTTACAAATTTGTCAACAAGGTTTAACACACTTACCAAGCACTCATTTGCACTCTGCTCTCCTCTCCTCTTACAGTTGAGTAAAATGCCCTCTGTGTGTAAAAAGATCATTTCCTTCATCAACCAGGTCTATAAAACTAACTCATGGAGAAGATGAATCTCCCCTTTTTGCCTATGTTTTTCTTGCTGGTGTGCAGTGATGCAGAGCCTATCGTCAGAGAAGAAAGCACTGAGAGATGAGCCTCACCTCAACCTCGTGCCCTCACCTCACGCACAGTAAAGCCAGGAGGGAGTGTCGTAGCAGGAGGAGGAAGGGGGGGCTCAGGGAGTGGAAGGAAAAAATGCCTCCTCCGCCTATCTTCATACTCGAGCATTGTGTCATATTAATCCTGCGTCTGTGTGTGTACGTGTGGGCGTACTTCAGTGTTCGACAGGGGTAATTAGCAGATTCACCACCGTTCCCTGACCTGACACGCCGAGCTGATGTGAGATTTATCTGCTTCTTTGGACTCAACAATACAGACACAACAGCCCTGAAACCGACCGCAGAGCTTCTATTAGCACACAGTGGGGATTAATTCATTCATAGGTGTGGAGTAAAACACCACAAACCTCCACAGGGTGTGCAATAATTTACAGTAATTCACATTTTATACACGTTTGTCCAGCTGACAAAAACAGAAAACGCAACACCGATGTTCTGGGTATTCATAGAAACGCATTACTGACTATATAATCATCTGGTCTTCTATAATTACGATTCATCCTCTGTGCTTTTGCTACAAATAGCGGTCATGTGAAATGTTATTTTTAGAGATGATACAGATTATTAATAATTAAGCAGAGCAATATTTGGAAGCGATGTGGCCTACATTTGAGGCAAAAATTGAAAATCTCTCAAATTAACATGAAATAATTAACATGAACTCTGACACAAAACTTTTGTGAAATGCGTTATGTTGTTCACGTGTTCAATTAAAAGAGAGTCCATGCATCACTCTGTATTAATTGGCTATTACTTATGACGCATAACCAAAGAGATGCTGTTGCCACATTGAGACATTGCTCCAGAGCACAGAGTTCACTACAGACAGAGAGAGGTGGCTACTTCAGAGCCAAATCAATGTATTTTTAAGTTCATTTATTTCAGTAGGAATCAGTTTTAAATAAATAATCAAGTGAATGATGCAGCTGTGGTCATGATTTATCACGAGAAACCAGTAATGTGAACCTCACTGAAATCCATCTAATAGCTGTCAAGACATTTCAGTCTGGACCAAAGGGGTGACCCAACTAAGCGACAAACACTCCTGCTATCTGTACAGCCACACTAGTGACGGGATTATCCACATAGATGTTCATCATGTCTGCCACTGTTACTGTCCACGACCCGTCTTTTTTACAAACACTATCCTCATGCATAGATAAGCCCTGCATCTCTACTCTAAGCTTTTGTTTTCAAAGTGGCTGCGCATAATTCAACATGCTATGGCTCAACAAATCTGATTTGATGGCCATGATAAACTCCCCAAGAAACATGAAAAAAAAATCCATATTTAAAAAGAGCAGTCATCATATCTAAGCTCCAGCCGAGAAAAGCATTCACTCTCACAGTTGGATCCTGAGGAATTAGCAGATACAATATAGCGAACTGCTGGTAAGGGACAGGGAAACAAAAGTGGAATGAGATGCATCAAGTGGAACTAAATGCTTTTTTTTTTTTTTAATGTAGCACATGTGAGAGTATCACTCTGAATTCAGCCAAGCTTTGAACCAGTTGGAATCCTCGCTCCAGTGCTGAATCTTCCTTTAACAGTGTCACGGTCCATCAGCTCACAGTCACAGTCATTTAGGCTTATACCAGCAAGCCCCCTGCCACATGTAATTGAACCTTTTTACATTTAAAGAACTTAAAACAACCAATAAGAGAAAACAAGGCTGGTTAGTATGATAAATTATGTCATTCCATTTCCTTCCTTTCATCACCTTCCTCCTGCCTGGATGTTTAAAAATTCTGGTCCACCTCTGACTACTTTTTAGTGCACATTGGTCCCAATGATTTTCCCATCAAATGTCATATACACTAGTCTAATTTCCCTTTTCTATTTCATACTCTCACTTTTTCTTTCCCTTGAACATTGCAGGATAAAGCAAAAAATAAATCATCACACACCAAGGCTCCATTTCCCGCCTACTCACGTCAATTGCGTCCCTCTCGAAGATCCGGAGCTGGAGGAAGAGCTCCAGTTTGATCTTCCTTTCCTGGAACAGCTCCTCCATCTGGCCCTGGGCCTCGTCCAGCTGCTGCAGCACGCTCTCGATGTGGGCCATGGAGCTGTTGTGGGGAGTCTTGTTGCTCGAGATGGCTGAGTCTCTGTGAGCAGAGGTGACATCCAGAGTGCTTTTAGATACATCTCTGACAAATTCTGCTGTTATTTGCTCACTTTACTTCGTATATCTAAAAATCCCTTTTATACTTCTCCTTGGATCTTTATCTTTCATCTTACTATCACATGACTATCCATTAATTACAGAAAAAAAGGTCAAATCACCATGCTCTTGGGCTTTCTGTTGCTTAATTATGTTCATTGTTATGCTGGGTGTTACAGGAATTCATTATTGTTCACTCTGTAATCACAGATTCAAGGGTGTACGTGCATGCGGCTTGCCCTACTGAATAGCAACCATATGGAAAATCATGTAATATTAATGGTCACCTGAGCTGCTGTATGAGGTCCTCTCCCTCCTTGATAACGTTGACAGTTGCCTGCAGGGTGGTTTGCTGCTGCTGGCCGAATCGCTTGATCAGGTCCTGCACGGCCTCTACTGACTCGGCGTACACGTCATCCAGCAGCTCCTTCTGAAGCTCCTCCAACCATGTCCACAGCTAAAAGTGAAGGAGAGAAGAGGTAAGTGTGGTGTACACCTCAAAGACAAGAGAAACAAACAAGAAGCTACTAAACCATTGTGTTGGTAATCGGCACACACATGTTGGAAGCAGGTGGGGTAGATACATAAAGCGCTGTGAGCTAAACACAGATGTAAGAGTCAATAGACAAGCTGCCAAACGGATAGACTGAAGACAGGAGACAGAAATCGACTCCAACCGGTTCTGCTCAAAGCTGGTGTTTTGTGAATGGTCATCTTTGTAACAGATTAGCCATCTGGGTGAATTGGCTCGCCGTACTGAGGCCCTGGCACACAATCCAGGCTGCAGGAGAGAGACCCTGGCACCCATTGTTCGTCTAACACCCACACTGCCCACACAAAAGTGGATCTTCTTTCGATAGACATCATTCACTTTGTAACATACAGTATGGTACATATTACCTGGAATCTCTATAGACACTAAAACAAATGAAATATGTATGTTAAATCAACTCAGTTTCTTTTAAAATACAAATGCCTTTCCTTAGAGGTTTGTGGGAGGGAATTTCAGATTACGCTAGGATGGAAATTCTTCTTAGACAGTCTCTTTAATCGGAAAGCTTCATGAAAATCCGTGCAGATGAATCCCCTCTCCTACAATGCAATTCATGCTCCGTTTCCACAGTAAGCGGTTCCCTTTTAACATGCTGGACTGCATCCAATAGCTTCTACTAAATTAGAAGAAGTGATGGGCAGGAGAGCTGGAAACATTCCCTTGTACAAACATACATACACAGAAGAAAACATACAAAAGAGGCTCACACATGAAGGTTGACATACACATGCACGCATACACATGGTGAACTGCAACCGCTGTGAGCTGACAGATGGGATGAAGGAGATTAGTCCATATGGACATTAAAGACTGGCTTCATTAATAACACTGTGGCTCCGATTGCCTCTGTGAGTCGATGTAAACAGGATGTAGAGTTAACACGTGCAGAGCACAGCGTTGTCAGTCTGGAGAGGTTAATTTAGACAGCCAAACATGTGCAATGTATGACTTTCATAATAATATGACACTGAGATGAATTCAGGGAGTGAAGCAGTGACTAACACAGTACTCTCACAACATATAACATTTTTTTCTTCTCTCCCTAAGGAACAAGGTAAACTATAATAAGAAAAATTAAAGGCATGCTTGTCATTATCAAAGTCAGGAGGAGGGCAGATGAAGTCAGACTGCCTTCAGTTTATGTAAAACACAAGTGCACTACAGAGGCAAAGGGAAGCATTGATGCATGCACGGGGGGAACATAATGATTTTGGCAGGAACATATTCAGGAATGATGCATATTTACGCACAGAAATGTCTCTGTAACTCTGAAGGCAGTGACTTACAGGTAAATTCTTGATAACTTTTGGAGCAGATGTGTAATTTCACTTTGAATTGTGGTGAACAGTGTGTGTGCGATGTGTAAGAAATCATGTGGACATGACAATGACCTTAAATTTTCCAAAAGAGATAGTGGCTAACATCAACATCACAGAGCAGTGACTTGGATACAGCGTTTTAGGTTGAGCATTTCTAAATACCTTTTATCATCAATAAAATATTTAAAGGATCACACGGTCCTGGTGGAGGTAAGTGCTCTCTGATTCCAAGCTAATTATACGGTTATTTCACAGTGATACAGCAGTAGCTTTCACATGCTGTCTACAAAGCTAAAATTGCTCCTATAGTAGCATTCTCTTTGTTTTTTTTAAAACATAATCAAAAAGGTAACCACGATAAAGGGATTTCCTGACTTTTAACCTTGTTGCTGGAATATGACAGATACCATCAAAAATCCACAACGATCCAGTTTTTGGTGGAGGAGAAAGACATGACACAACTTTTTACTTTCCATTGTTTGCATTCCTAAACACAAAAGGTGATCAAAAAAGTTCACAGAGTGTTTATGGTGCATGTGCAAGAAGTGTGTCATAGTCACATGCATGCAGCACATGCAAGCAGTAACTATTATGAGTCAGGACGCTGCGTGACACCACATTATCAACAGCAGGACCTGTGTTGCACATGTTTTTGTGATCACTGGTAGATGCGTAGTTATGATTTCTCCATGGACCTCAAACTGGAGCAAAGAGGAAAACATTACATTCTGTGTTCACATCAAATTTTATGTTGAGGATCATCACTGGTGATGAAAATGGGCCTGGAGCTACCATCAGGAGAAGGAACGACAGTTTTCACACTACAGTTCATGCATCATGGGCATGTTTTTCAAGGCAAGACATCTCCTGTAACATTCTGAGGTGTCTGAGGGAGAACATTCAATGCAAACGTCCTGAACCGTGGTGTAGTGACATGTTTTTGCTCAAAGTGTTGCTTGCAGACACAGCACGCTGATCACACACAGGATTTCAGCTACAAAAACACAATCATCGCTTTCCACCAGCCACTAGATTTGGCTCCCTGTGATTCCTTCTGCCACCTCAAAATGAAATTCAGGTTGAAGGTTAACAGTTTTGGAGATTCAGTGGTCATGGCAGATGGTGCATTATATGTTTACATAATTGAACTTCTAGGCAGGGTATTTAAGCGTTGCAAAAACACTTGGAGAGATGTGATGCTGCACAGGGAGACGACGTACACAGGAATGGTAGCAAATTAAATCCGGCATAGTTTTTTTTTTTTTGAGGCACATTTTGGAATATTTTTGATCAGCACTATGGAGTAAAGCTGGAGAGTGTTTCATTAATTTATAACTCTCTACCTTTTTCATTCTGCTTTCATACAATATTAGTTGCATCCTATTTTCGCATCAAGCAAACAAGAGGAGTCAAATCAAACAGGGCCAGTTGGGGATAGAGGGAGGAGAGAACACTCACCTCTTTGACGTGTGTGTGGAAGGCGACAGACATGTCCAGCAGGACTTTACGCTGCTCAACACGTCGCACAAAGTCCTGAATGCGATCTTCTAGCTGGTGGGCAGCCTGGTAAATTTCCTCTGGGTCACACTCTCCAGTCTGGGCCAGCTGCTCTGCTGCCTCGAGCAACTTGTCAGCATTGGTGTAGGTGTTCTGAAACAATAACATTAAGCACATTTAGAAAGGGAGTACAGTGTCTCCTGCACTGCTCATTCGTTCCCAAGAGCTGGACTGAAATCTTGTCACTTTTCGGTTGCTTTAGGAAAACCCAGCAGTGTCAAATCTACATGTTTTATTGAACATCTGTGCACTAAAACAAATTCATTCGATGCACAAAGAAATGCAACTTTCAGACTTCCATGGTTTTCCATAAAATTGTGGGCTTGATGCCTCAGAGCAAAAACACATCACAGAATGGATATTTGTGATTTGGCTTTGACACTTTTCAGTTGCGTGACTTTAAAAACTCACCTGTGCAACCTCTTCGAAGTCTTCATGTCTCTTCTGTAGAGCCCTGGCTCTGTGCAAAGACTTTCCAACACCAGTGTGTTTACTAAGGAAGGCCTCCCCGTGGTTTTCTATCCAGTCCAAGACCTGGAATACACACACACACACACACACAAATATGTTTAGCATATCATGTTTTTTTTTGTTTTTTTTTTTTAAATGCACACAGATAATGTCTGTAGTTGTCAGTTACATAGGTCATGGTAACACTTGGATCTTCAGTAAAAAGAAACTAGACTTTTCTTTTAAGTTCTTAAGCTGCATCACTTCTAATGGAAGAGGGTTTCAGATGTATATGGTACAAATGAAACTCAGGTTCTACAAGAACCTAAAAGGGTAGTCCAGTTGCATTTTACTGAAGCTCCCGCGAATACATAGGTAGCCATAAGTTGAGAATGCAGTACACTTTATTTAGCAGTAGGGGGGGCAATTGACAGGAAAGGCCGTATTCAGATCACATTAGTTTTAGCAGTCTGTAGATGTCATCTCTCTCGTCCTCCTCTCTGTCTTTTCAGCTCTCGCCCATATTCTTTACTCTTTTCCTCCATCTGCAGTTTGTCATGTTTAAACCACACAAGCATGGACAATTGGGTGTCACTTAAAAAAGGAAATCCAAAGCAGTGCAAAATGTCAACATTTCCACTGCGGATGTGATTAGCTATAAATCTTTGTACTTAATTACCTTATTATCTATTAAACAGATGGCCATTCTCCATCTGTTTCTATGTGGGGTAATAAAAGAGATTTTCAAGGTCTCAGAGAGAATATTTTGATGGGACAAACACATATGAACGCACGAACAATGCCCTTGACACTTTGTGTGACAGTAAATTGCATCACCATGGAAACCACTACCAAGAGAAAAGGGTGATGAAAGAGCGAATGGAAGTGGGGAAAGACAGAAGCACAGACATACAGCAAGAGAGAGTGCGAGGTGGAGAGAGAAAGAGAGAGAGGAGGGTTATACCCAAAGGGTAGAAATGCAGAGACGACACTATACATCAACTCAGTAGTTTTGATCTAAAAGCTCTGCCATCCGGACCGAGAGGGAGACTCTCACTTGAAAAACCCAGGAGGAAGTGAAAAAAGGCTTTGAAAAGGCTGGAGATGATCATCGTATATCCTTAATACCACACCCTCTCGTATCTAGCACTAAAGGCTTCACTCTGCAAAACAACAAAGAGCTCTTGGATCTTCATAAACATTAAAATATAATACAACAGCAACTGGTTTTGCCAAATGTTTGTATAATAGAAGAGTTTTCTCATTTTTTGTTTTAACCACGGATACAGGATGCATGTGTGCTGCAGTAAAAATCTTCATTATAGCCATCTTTACTCTTACATAAATTACTAGCAAACATGAACATTTAAAAGATTCAGAAGCATCAAAATTAACTTGGTAAAGCTGCTACACAATGACAAGCCTTGCTAAAAGATCATAAGGTGAATATTTCAGTAAAAATGTTTAAAAGGATGGGTCTCAGTGCAGCTAAATGAGACATAAGGACAAGGTGGGGCAGCACTTTCTGCAGTCGAAACAGTAGTCTCATGTCAGTATATCTGTCATTGTGTATGCGTGCGCCTTAAAAGTGCAGGTCTGTGTTGCTATGCATGTATCTCTTACCTGCTGTACATCCTGCTGAAAGACGCACAGCTGCAGACGCTGGTGCAGGCGCACTTTGCGATGCTGCCAGATGTTTTCCAGTTGTCTCTGGTGATGCAGCACCTCGTGGATGATGTCCAGGACGTGGTGCACGGCCTTGGAGTAGTTAGCTGATGACATCAACGAATCAGCACTGCCTGGGGTCAAAGGTCGCTGCAGTTTGTCCAACAAAGACTTGCCATCCTGGCTTACCTGTGAAAGGTTGATGTGTAGTTTAACATACTGCAATAGTTCTGCACAGATCGCTGGGTTCAGTTTGTGAAACATCTAAAAGGATTATTTTCCTTGTTTATATTTTGATTTTATTCATTTCATATATTTTTGACAGCATGGGATGAGGTTTCAGATTATTTTTTTGGAGGCGCATGAATAAGCACATTTTAGGTAAACATCAAAACCCATAACTGTTTTATCTGATGTTGTGCAACTAAGTAGAAAACCAAACACAAATGTGTATATGTCGTATTGTTTTTGACCTCAGTATTTGTATATGCTCCTCTATATTTTGCATGCTCACTTATTTCAGCATCCATGTATGTTTGTGATTGTGTTCTTTTTTTGTGAATTTGTGTACTGACCTCAGAGTATGCAGTGGTGATGTGCTCGTACAATCCCTGGTGATGGTGGATTGTGTCTTCCAGATCCTGAAGTTCGGAGGGCAGCTCTCCTTCTCCACATGCCTTACACCACGGCTCCACTTTACTCATGTACTGGGGAGAGAAAACACAACACAAACGTTGCATTTGCTTTATTATGAAGACTTAAACACTGTATCACATACTAGTTATCAACAATGCGATGCACACAATAGAGTAAAATGTCAGAAACCACTGAAGCCACAGGCCAGCTGAAGTTTAAATTATTTCAATGCCTTATCAGAGTGTTTGATTCAACTGATCCAATTCTTTAGCCGCTTGCTGTTAAACCTGGGCCATCTTTGTTCAAAGTTTTATTTTAAATTTATAAGGGATTTACAGCATTCTTCATACCAATGCGTAATCTCTGGTATGTAAAAGTTGTATACCCTTATTGGGACTTATATAGAGTTAGAATAAGAATGAATGACCTTTGGTAAATCCGCAAAACTTTGATGTTTCATTGACATAAAACAAACAGAAAAACCCAAACAAAAAATAGTTGCATTTCTTATCAAGCCTGGTTGTTCTACCACTGTGCTGTCCATTATATGGCTTACAGCAATTTCAAAATCCTAAAAGTCTCGAGGGATCAGGTTGCTTTCATGAAATCAACACAATGACAATAATTATGGGAAAGCATGAAAGCATTTGATTGTGTAATGACAACTGACTGCATATCTGATATCCAGAGATTTACTACACTGGCTTGTATTTTTTCTGCGCATACAACTTGCATGCTGACACACATCATTACTAGCACGGTCCACGCTGTGCACAAGAAGTTGACACATAGTTTTGATCCCTATTCAAAATCACAAGCCAATGAAAACAAAGGAAAACAATAACTCTGCACGGGAGTCTGTCAGCGAAGCGAGATCGACATAAAAGTTTGGCATTGGCATTGTTATGGTTGGAAAAAGTAACACTGACGGAGAGGTTCGAGCAAGAAAAGTGATAGGACAAAGGAGTTCAGAGATTTATGTAGAGACGTTTGATAAATGACAAATGATTATTTAATGATGACAGATAGTAACCAATGATTATTATGAGTAAATATTCTGTACATGGTAACGGACAGGGGTAAATATACTCATCCCAGCTCTACACACTTACTCTGGGCTCTAAATTACAACATGTCTTCTATTTCTGAAGTCTAATAAACCAAGAATAGTGACTATCTTGCGATTAACATAGCATGAAAACATACAACATCATGCCTGTAACACCGCTCTGTCCAGTTATATTGACAACAAAGGAAAACCAATAGCTTACAAGGAAGTCTTAAACATCAAAGGTGGGGCAGAAAAGGAGCCACTCAGCAAACAATAGGTGTCAACAACTAACTAATGCACTGAAACTGCAACCGTAAGCAAAAAAAAAGGAAAACAGTATTGATCATTTAAATGGTCTTTCAGGTCTACTAAAGCAACCCCAGTGCATTTTAACTCTTTAAAATGTGCATGTCTTTAAAATGACATAAAATTGTATTAAGGTGTGGATACTAAATTATTCAGACGAGCACACGTGACAGAGAATCTTGTCAGCTCCTAGGATTCTCAAATACATGTTATATGCTCCGTTCCTCTTATTGTTCAAATAATATGTACCGTACGCATGTAAGAAATCAGAACTTCATAAATACATGCAGATACTTAGAAGCGTTCCAGGGGAGCTGCCAACAGCATGTTCGGTACAGTCAAAAATGTTTGCATGTGTGCAGGATGATAGTTTATTTGTGGATATGTTGCAGAAGCGTTTTCACTTATATAATCAAACAAAGACAAGGAATCTATTACGCACTGTAAGTTCTCATCAGAACTGTACTTGTGTTTGTGTGTTCTGCCAGCATTGCGTGTCAATACCTGATCTGCTTTCTGATGGAAGCTGGCAGACATCTCCAGCAGGGTGCTGCGTTCGTCCAGTGCTGCAGCAAAGGCCTTCCACTCCTGCTCCAGCTGGCCCGAGATCTGCTGGATCTGCTGGGAGGCGTAGTGGCCGGATTCCAGGAGTCGGTTTCCCACTGACATGATGCGATTGATGTTCACATACACGTTCTGTGTTTTTAGAGAGACAGAGAAGCAAAAGCACAAGTTTGCAAAAAAATTATACCAAAAATAAATGGCTTTAATTATATAAAAAGGACGAATACAAACTGTCTTTTTTATTTGATGTTGACGTTTGGGCATCCTTACTAGATAAATTAACAGGCTACAGGGCAAAGCGTTTATGCGCAATGATGCATGAAACTGCAACTATGTCTTTAAATTGGCAGCGATCCTGCAAAGCAATTAACGTGTTTGTGAAATATAGCGGCCACAATTACATTCAAGTAGACAATAACTAAGGCTACAGAGAATATAAGTCAATCTGTGCACTGTTGTCATAAGTTACTTCAATACAAACACACACACACACACACACACACACACACACACACACACACACAACATACAGAATTGTGGGTCATTCACTTGGGAGACATACCCCCTGGTGAATAATAAAAAAGCCCATTTGCCTGCTAATCTTTCAGTCTTTTTTAATATATGGGCTCCAAGCTGTTTTGTGGAGATAGGCACGGATCAGCAAATGCTAATTAACAACTGTGTTAACAGTCTGTTATTATTCTATTCAATTACTGCTCCTGGAGCCTATTATGGCTCTTAGTTTGCTTGTTTCAATCACAACGGGAAGGAAAGATGAACCAAACACCAGCTACGGCCTTCTAAAAGAGACAAAGTCCTGGGAAGACTGATTCTTGAAACATAAATTAGGAGTTTTCATCAAAGCTGCAGACGCTGGATTAGTGATTTGTTTAAACCATAAGGCGCTGAGATTGTTTCTGATGGTGTCTTTTTCTGAGATTAAAGATATTTTTTGAATAGCTTTACTTTTGCTCTTTTGTGGGAGGACATTTCTCACTGGCCAGAATCAACAATCAAAAGCCCTGGATTTATTCTGACATCGGCTTGAGGATAACAGAGACAGTGGTGTGCTTGTAAGTATGGCTCACTTGAGAAATCAAAGGAGTTCAACTGCTCTCAGATGCACAGCAGGAGGGAAGTTGTCATACACAAAAGCACAGCAGTGGGCAGTAGAACTACTATAATCCTGTGACAATCCAGAGGCACACATGAAATATCACCGGATGAATGATGTCTAAGCTACCATAGCTATTTTTGTGGCATTATACTACAGAAAACTATAGTGACATGCAAAGAATGAAAAAAAGACCTCCAAGACACACGCTCCTGCACACATACAGGGGAAGGAGGGGCTCCTGGACTGCTCGAACACACTGAGCGGGAAAGCCTTAATCCAAAACTGATGGATGGAAGGGGGAGGGAAGACAAGTTGGACAAAGATGGGGAAATGGTATTCCTAATTTAAACCTGATGCTGGCATTAGAAAGAGAGAAAACAGAAATACAACACTGTTGACCTAAAAGTCAGTAAATCTACAGATAACAAATAACAACAGTAGTGTTTGTGAATGAAGTGCAGAAAAAGATGAAAAACTGCCCACAACCTCAGAGATTTACATCCCTAGACAGGTAACCAGCAAGTTTGTATTTGCTACCTATCGCACAATGTTTACCTAATTTGAAGTGAGAAATGTATGCACTACAAGGGCACTTAAAAATCCCAGCAATGAATGAAAATGTTCATAAAGTGCACAGTACATTTGGCTAAATAAATTCTAAAACGGACTTCATCTTTACAAGATGCGTAGATTCATGTAATGTGATGGTGCACTGAGCAGCAACTGCTATCGCTCAAGTGCTAAAACAAAAGTGCAGCTCATAAATTGGCCACTCATAGCTGGCTCCAAAAGTGGTCAATTCCCATAGACCCCATGTTAACAGCCTAGTACAAAAAAGTTATAATTGTATTAAGGCTTAAAGTTCTGCATAAATAAGGACCATAGCAACCCTCAGTTCTACTCCTGCACGTTTTTGCCTATTTTTGGTTTGACTGGGAATTAGGAGGAGTCTGCGTAATCATACTGAGCTTCAGAATCACTCTTCAGGAAACCTGTGGGTGGCGTCACAGAGTGTTTGTCCATTTTTACCTTCCGCCTATGTGCTGCACACATAAGTGGGGGTACAACATGTCGATGATTTCTAATTTCAAGTGAGAGGGATTTCAGAATGCAGATTACTAACCGAGCTCAGAGGTTTCACTAATGAGAAAACATGCTGCTACTGATGTACAAGTTGGATTTTCCCCATAGAAATCTCTGATGACCACTGAGTGCAACTAATTGCTCGTACTCAAGAATAAATTGCATCTGCAGAACGCAAAGAAACATTAAAAAAAATTTAAAATAAAACAATAACAGTAATGACAAAAAAATAAAACCTTAAATTAGCTACACGTGCACGAACATCAATGAAACACTGATTCAATTTTGTGTCAGCACCAAACAAGTTAACCTTCAAGTTTTTAACAAAGTTTTGCCAGCTCAGTCTTTTGGTAAAGACATTGTCTTCTGTTCTTGCCCTTAACATGAAGAAGCCAGACAAAACTCAGTTTTGAATAATTGTCCCAGTAGACCTGGATCTCACATATCAGTTTCAAAACTCTCACTTCTCCACTTTCACTGGAACTAATCTCTACAAAAACACCTTCTTGTACACAAACTAAAGGTAAACCATCTCCATGCCCTCAGGGATGTTCCAATGTTTTCCACTTTTACGCCACACAAAAAAGCAGAGTGCTGAAATTATGAGTTCTTCAATCAATATTGTAAAATTCTATATTATCTTCTATTGAAAACTGTTATGTATGGGTAAAAATGGTTAATAATAGACAACACTAAGAAACTTCCTCAGTTAATTAATTACATTAAAATCATTTATTTTGTAATCAGAAGATAAATTCATATTATTATCCATGTCGATCCACAACATCAACCATGTTATGTCTATAGTAAGTTATTTTACACTATTTGTTGCATAGGTGTCACATTTTATGCTCCTTGTCTGCCATTTATTCCTAATTTTACCCTCTATTTACCAGTATATATATTATCTGTGTACAGATATCAACTCCATACAGGGCAGTTTGAAGAAATATAGTATATATGAATACATAGACATCAAACCGCCCTGAGCATACAAACTTTTTTCTTGTTTTTAAAAATCCAAGCAAATCTTTTAGATTTTTCTGTTTCTTCCTCTGTAATAGAATGTGAGAGGTGTGTAAGGTACACTACAGCTATCGAATGCTGTGATTCTACAAGTTAGTAGTGTGAGAAGTTGGTTTTACCAGTTTGATTAGTTGCAATCAACTCTAATTTGAAGGTGCAGTTAAAACTATGTCCTTTGGAATGAGAATAAACTATATTTGTTACGGATAAAAAACAAACAAACATGGTTTGTCACCTTTTAAAGAAACAATAGAAAGTGGAGAACATGCTGTTGTAGCTGAAGGAATCCGAAGGTGTATTTCATGTGGATTGACAGCCCATCTTATTTCCTCATAACCACAACAGGCAAATAATGTAGTCCTATTTCAATGCCTTGCATGATCTTAAATATGTTAAACCTGCACTCCTCAGTAAAGAAATATAAGAAAACAGCAAAGATCTGTTCAGCACAGTCGTACATATCACATACTGATAAAGTGTCTCCTATAGAGGGCATAACAGCCACATACAAAACTCATTACACATTATCACTTGCATAACAGCATACAGGCGCCATTAGTATTTGGTCTGCACCTTCACTTACAGATGATGTATGTATTTCTGTGGCTACCACTGATGGCTGATTTGATACTGGAAAAGCAATGCTGGTACACTGACATCTTTTATACCGGTGGTGCCAATGTTTAATCAGTGGGAACTGGCAAATATGTAATTGTGTTGTTTCACCTTGTTTTCACTCCCATTAAAATGTTTGGGAACATGCACAGAAATTAAGGGACGCAGGCAGTTTCTCTACACGAACACACACAAACGATCACACCGTGTATTTCCATTTAAACAGGAAGGGGAAACGCAGCTTCCTGTGGAAGAATGGGTGGAGGGGGCGGTGGTCACTCCGAGTTAACACGACTGTGTGTGAATATACGTGTGAGTGTATTTCACTTCCATCTGTCTTTTCTACTGCTGTTGTCTCAGGGGTTATTGGTACTTCTCCACCGGTACTGTTGACACAACTGGCTGTAGGCCGTCACTGAAGCTGCCCCCGAGCACTTATGTTGACACCGCTTGCTGCAAATAGCTTCTAACACCAGTGATACTTTGAGGGAATTTAGGCCATGGGCGCTGCTCTCCCTTGGCTACACTTTCCCCACACTAACAATAGCTACTGTTAGACAGTGACAATGAAAAATCAATGGTTCAACACTTCTCCCTGTTATGGTTGGGCTGCTTTTGCTCAAATCAGAGGGAATGGGCTGTTTATTTTACCAATTTAGATTTCAAAACAAATGTGCTGACACAAATCCATCGTGTACAGCCTCGTTCAAGCTTGGCTTAACTGCTTAATTACACAGTAAATGCCAGACAGGGTTAATATGCCATTACATGTCAGGAGGCGGAAAAAAAAGGAGGACACAACAGAAGATTGAACATTAGATGTTATGAAAGCCTTGCAGCGTCGATGCAACAAAACCTTGACCACAAAAGAAAGTCAGAGCTGAGTACAGTTTGTGGAAGGCAGACAACGGAGAGAAAGATCAGGGGCAGATGTACTGTGTTTGTAATAACTAACATCATGAAAGGTTTTGATAGGAACTGGCAGAGAAGAACACCGCAAGACTGCAGAGTCAATAGAATATAATGTTCTCGGCAACATACATTAGTCAGCAGCTGAGCTCTACAGACTACAGTAAGGTACAAGAGGGCAGGGAGTGGTGTGGAGCAGAGCAGCAGAGGGCACAAAGGCAATATGGGTCAATTACGGGATCAGCACCATGACAAGACATGACAGAGTGGGGCAGAGGAGAAAAACAGCTGAATAATATTATAAAATGATGGCAGCACAGACAGTGTCAGTCTACATCGAGCCACTGTCCAACACAGAAGATGTGATAAAGGCTTCAAAAAAGAAAAGATCTGTGCTAGTGGGGTGTTTGCACAGGGATGGGAGGCCTTAGCCCGTTACTGTGAGTGACAGTAATGATAACAGTAAGCGACTGCTTCACCTCTGTGCGTGTTTCTGTGCGCGACTGAGACAAAGACGCCGTCTTACCATGCAGTTCATAGCAAAGTGGTTGTGCTGCGTCTGCAGCTCCACAGCATGCTGGTGGTTCCCTCCAATCTCTGTGTAACTGGTCAGGAAAAGCCCCTTGTTGTGCATGATCCAGTCGAACATCTACGCAGGGAAAGAGGTGGAGAAAATGTGGTTGGTTGTATAGAAAGCACTTCAAATGAAAAGCCTTTCCATCTTGTGTTTACTCATCGCAACAGCAGTGACAATAAGAGGGCCTGCTGTTCTGTGTTTGTAATTAACCAAAACCTTTCATCACTCATCACTGTGCTGATTGCTAGAGGCAAGACGTCTTCAAGCCCACTTTGTTATGAGTGCGAACAAAAGGACAAGCTTTGTAAGCGTGCGTGTGTGTGGATCATGTCCATTGTTGCCCTTCTTTTTGGTGTTCATGTGTATTCTGTATGTTTTGTGTATGCAAAAGTGTATTCAGTTACCGAATTATCTGTGACAATGACCACACTTCTGTATTTGTCCCTCGCTCTGCACAGTTCATATAGCTACATCTCCCATCTGTACACACATATGAATGTACTTTCTGTTTCCATGTACACAAACACACAGCTCAAATAAAAATTGACCAACATTTTAAAAAAATAATTTTTAGCACACAGGATCACATAGACACAGGACACTGTACAAAACATTTGGTCAATACTGGCCACCAATGCACCTCATTAGTTTCATCAAGAGGGTTATGTTTTAATTTGCATTTGTTGGTTGGTTTGCTAGTTTGTTTGTCAGCAGGATCATGCAATAACTGCTGAGCTGAGTTTCATTTAACTCGGTAGAGAAGAGGGGCATTACGTTTCGGTGCAGATCTGGTTTGGGTTACATATCATAGAAGAGAGGACTGTTGGACTCTTGGTGAAGAGCGCTTCTCGTTTGTGAAGCTTTAACCACAATATACACACACCCCTAATCTGGCAGACATGGGGATAAAAGTTGATCAGAGGGCTTAAATGTCTGGATTATTGTAATCTTTTCATAAACTTGGCTAAAATTGGCATGCATGCACACTCACGCACCCGATTAGCTCCTGTGCAACCTGAAATAACTTCACATATTCAGAGGTAAGTGTCAGTATTCACACATGTTAACACGGAGGTGCCAAGTGGCAAACAGGGGACGAGACAGTTAGGACCCTGTTAACTCTAACCTTTTTTGTAATCGTGTGGCCTAAAGCAGATGTGAATCATGTCGGAACAGAATGGAACAGAAAAGCACTCTGACCTTCTCAGCATCCTGTTCAAACAGTCGCAGCTGGAAACACTGGTCCAGCTTCAGCTTCCTCATGTGCCACAGCTGCTGCAGATTCTGGCGCGTCCCGTGCAGTTTATCCAGCAAACCCGTCACTTTAGCCACTAGATTGTGTGCGTCTGCATGTGTGTGGAACCCGTGATGATGGTCGTTGGAATCTCCACTAGCTCCACGGTTGCCATACCCGCCCTCGCCGCTGCCACTGCCCCCTGTAGTTTGTGACTGTAGCCTTTGGAGAAGCCTTCGTCCCTGCGTGTCCAGCTCCTCCACCGACGCCTTGGTGGCCCTTTTCTTCAGCGCTGCATGTTCTTCCATTAACCGGCGAGCCCCCTCCAGGTCTCGTGGAAGATCACGCTGGGACAAGGTTTCCTGGAGCTCCTCGAGGCGTGCCAGAGATCGCGCTGCGTCGCTGGCAAAGGTCTCAAACGAGAGCCGCACCTGTAGTGACAGTTAGAAGTGACCTGCATTTTCCAAAGTGGAAATTTTATTAAAGTGAATTAGGTACTGCTAACAAATAGGAGATGTTGATAAGTCTTAGTCGGCTGTTTTCTTAAGTAAACACACAAAAGCCTAAAGCCAAAGACCTTCTGCGTGACTTCTAAAGAGCAGATGGAAATAAAAAAGGGGGGAAAAAAAGAGAACATATCCCAACCTCAATCCAGTCATCATGGTTGTACTCTAAGCTGCCCTCGAAGTCAGCTGTCAGCTGGGACGGGTCCACAATCTTGGTTAAACCCTCTAAGGAGACCATCACCGTCTGGCGCGGGGAGGTGAATGTGGGACAAACGAAATAGGAAGAGACAAGAGAGAGACAGAAAAAGTGAAAGACAGATGAACAAAGAAAAGAAGAAAAGAAAAGAAAAGCAGGTTAAGAGAGAGGAGAAAGAAGACGAAGAAAAAAAAACACTAGAATTTACACAGTCATCATCATCATCATGTCATCATGTTTCAACTTAATCAGAAAGGAACTTTTCAAAATATTTCCCATCACTTAACCAAGATTATGAAAAGGATGTGGCGAGTCAGCGGCTCTGCATGTCTGATGTTTAGATAGGTGTGGTGACTAAAAAAAATCAACAGGATTCATGTTATCATTAATAAGATGGAAATACAGGAATATAAACTCTCAGGGAATAGAAACAGAAAGGGCTTAGGGTCACTAGAGTGAGGAGAACAACAGAGAAACGCAATATAAATGGGCAGATTTTAGAGTGGAGGTTATTATATATGAGATTTTCTTTAAAACATTCACAAAAACACACAAAAAAACATCTAACAGACACATAAAGCACCTCAAGCAAGACATGTAACTGTCATGATATAAAATACAAATAATCCATCTCATTGTAGCAAGAAAGACCGAGTTCCCTCCTGTACAGATGTTGTATTAACTGTAAGTTTGTTTAGGCTTCTTATAAACAGTAGGTAAATTGGTGAAGTTATGAACACATTATCAGCAGGGACCTACGCAGTGTAAACATTATCTTGTACTTCTGGATAATGATCAGCAGTTGTAAAAACTCTACAGAAGTCAACAGAGGAGGAGAACACATCTCAATCACCTTCTAGAACTGTGCAGCCAATAATATCCTGATAACCACTGTGTGCCACTCATAGAAAGTATACATTCAACATCATCAAAATACAACAAGTGGCTTGTCCAAAACTCAACTAAGTACAATTAGGATGAAAATCTTTTCCATGTCCTATATATCCTGTTTCCATAGTAACTGGGTCAGAACTAAATATACCGACTCCACTTGCCCACACGGGACAGAATAGCGCCACTGTCACAGAGCAGCAGTCCAATTAGAGCTGATAAAGTGAGGCCAGTGGCTACGCTAAACCAACTACAAATCAAATAGCTTACAGATCATTCATTTGAAAATTCAGTTCACAAATCCAATGAGCACTACCAGTATCTCCATTTGCTCCGTAAAACAAGATACAGTCATCATGAGGCTCAAAAGAGACGTAAATAATGGCTAATTGTGCAAGATCACAACAATAACAACAAAACCCAGCCTACAAATGTTACAAGGATTACTTTAGTGTGGCAGTTAAAGCACAGAGAGCATCACCCACCTCAAATTCAAACTTGGAGCTGCCGAAGTTGGTCCTCTGCTTCTGCCAGAAGTTGTCTGGCTTGATGATGAGTGCAACGTGGATGCAAGAGGGAAAAGATTCCTGAAGGATCTTCAGCAGAGGTTTAATGCTGTCCCACTTCGAACCGCGCATGTCCACGATGACTGTGAAGCCATGTCTAGCCACCTCCTCGCTGCACAAAACATAAATAAAGAGGTCAGATCCCAGGATAAAGAGCAAATTAACACAGGAAAAAAACATGTTGCTTTTGAATGATTTTTCAATGCTAACATGAAACCATTAGGGCCAGCTTAGAGCAACGCGTGACAGCAGAAGGACAAAAATCAATCAGATGGGGTTATTTTGAGACTGTCGCTGTCCTCATAACAGAAACAGACACCACAAAACCGCAGAAAAAGCCGTTTTCTAAAGGCTGTGTTATAACTGTAAGGATGCCAATTTCTTTTTTTTTTAAAGGGGGGAAAAAAGAAAAAAAAGAGATTTAAATCAAAATATCCTGTGCTCCCCAGCATCTGGAGAGGAAAAAGCAGTTAAAACATTCAACTGCTGACATTTCCACTGCTACTTACCAGGAGTCCTGCTGCTGTACAAGTCCATAAAAGGTTGTTTCTCAGTATTAAAGTCTTTAATCTGAACGTGTCTAGCTAGGACACAGAAACAGACGCAGGCCCTCCTGCTCTATCTCACTCTGACCTCACTCTCGGAAAACAGATCAGCAGCCAAATGGGTAGAGAGAAACGGAGTGGAGAGAGAGAGAGGAGAGCAAGTGGGAAACTGAGAGAGAGAGAGAGGGCAGATAGAGAAAGAAAAGGGGGTTACAGAAAAACAAGAGTTAAGGCAGCAGAAATATTTAGACAGAAGGAAGAGAAGTCAAGCTGCGGAGAAGAAGCTGGCCTCCCTCTGAGTTATGACACTTGTCGGTGTCAAACTGGATGACTGGTCACCTCTGACTAATCTTTTGTCCTCTCTCGTCTTACCTCCTCCAAAAGAGTTGAGCCTTTCAGAATCCAATAATTACAATAACTGCATCAAGTTCTATGTATTGATTCAGAGCTAGCTACTTATGTCTTTACAGAAAAAAAAAGCATGTAAACAGTGCTTTCCAAATTTTAATAAATGAACATGAGCCTTTTATTCAACTTGGCCAGCACTCCAAACTAGAGCTGCACAATATATTGTTTCAGCCATGTGAGCATGTACAATAGTCACACTACACAAAGTGAGATGAGAGGTAAAGTGCATCAAGCCAAACCCATCATGCTACAACGTTTGTTGCTGCATGACGCAAAAAGAAAACTTGCACGGTTCTCATTTTCCATGACTAATCCACAAGAGAAGTCCGTCTTGTATAACACAATTTACTCCAATTTAAGGGCTCTTGGATACACTTGGTTGTTTTTAATGACTTTATTTATGGGAGACAGAGTTTGTTGACATGCACACTCCACATATGCAAGGACAGAAGAGAAACAATAAAATTCAATATTTGTCAGATGCATAGAAATTTTTTGGCTACGGAAAGGATGACAAAAAAAATTAGTTAATTAGCTTGACCATTTACATCATTAGCACAAAGCTCAGCATGATTAGTAAAAAGCCAGATCTAAACCCCATCCAAAGCCATACATTATTTTGGATGCCTTTGCAAGTTTGTAAGTGAACAGGTCCTTTTATCTGAAAGATTTTTTTTTTTACTTTTTTGAATTTTCTATGCAGATGCACCCCTCTACAAAAATCACTCCAATCCTTCTTGAATGACTTCTTCTTTTCAAATAAAGTTATTCAAGCCACCAGTGAATAACTTGAAGTTTTTTTCATATAGAATATATATTGCATAAAATAAAAATATCGTATTGTATTTCTTTCCATTTACCATAAAAAAGTAGCATAAATCTTTAAAACATCACAGCAATCCTTCAAGTGCATACTTTAGATGGATCCTTTTAGAGTTTTTATGCATCTCTGAAAAGGTATAACAAGATTAAGTTCCAGTGGTAATACGCTGCTTTTTGGTTTTCATATATGACTGAAAACTTTCTACAATATATGAGGGGAAATAAAGCAACCCTGCGAAGCAAGCAGTGATCCTTGAACATCTGCCTCATGCAACTGCTGACTGAAATCTACGCAGACAGTGAGCATCTCTAATTTTGCCTCCGACATCCCAGAACCGCCGGAAAGAGCAACGGATCTGGACCCAATTCTTTGCAGTAACTGATCTGGACCACCTCTCGCCTCAAGACAAATCTCCAATCTCTGCTGTGAAAAAGACTTTAAAGCACTAGACCTGTGAAGGACTAGAAAGTACAGCACAAGGGGAGATCAGAAGCAGCAGAACAGAAGAGTGCAAGCTTCCCTCTAAGCTAATCACAACTGACTCCAAACAGAACACCCTGCAGCTATGTATTAAAGGTGCTTTTAGATTCAAAGATCAGCCTGCAACGAGCGACACGGTGCAACGGAGTACGATCCAGCAAAGCAGGCATGCCGACAGATTTTAAAGAGTGAGAGAAAAAAAAAAAAGAAGTGACAATGTACGTGACGCTTTGGTAAATTAACAACAGACGTTATCAATAACAGATTGAGAGTCGCTAAAGAGTGTTAGCGATTACCTGAAGGAGTCGTGGCTTTTTATAGAAAGCAAAGAGGAAATGAGAGGGGATAAAAGAGGAAGGGGTGGTTGGGTGGGGTGGAATCTCTAAAGAGAATCAAAAATAAAACCATCCCAGTTCTTTAGCCTGAGGTTTTGCTTCAGTGCTTTTTTTTTTTTTTTTAAACATCTCATGAAGGTGGGAAAGTCTTGACACAAAGAAAGAGATGAGACATGAGCTGCCTGTATAGAAGTCTGCTTCAAATTAACCCAGGTTCAAGAATAACATCTAAAAGTCAACACATGTGCATATGAGTGTTCATGCATGTCCTGGGATTTCTATTCTCTGCCTGTGTGTGTGGGGGGGTTCACTCCCTACCTGGGAATAGTAGCCAGGTATGCTATAAGCCTGCGCAGGTCTTCGGGTCGTATTCTGTCGTGGTTGCTCCGTGCTGGGAAGGTGAGGACGGGACCTCCACGTCTGTCTCTGCCACCTTTGGGTAGAAGTCAGATGACATTTATGTAAGGAGACAGTAGTAGTGAATTCAAGCAACAGGTGAGAGAACTGTGGTGTCAGTAAACGATTTTTCACTAAACCTGCACATATCTGAAGCGTTGAAGGAATCTGGAGCAGCAAGACACTCAGAGAAATTCTACTTTGCAAACTTTCCCCCCGTTGCATGAAGCTAGATTATCTGACTGAAATTTCATTTTAATTTTCCGTTACTGAGTTGAAGCATAGACGCACAACCGCTGAGTTGTTCTACCCACAAAAGATCTGAGCGCAGCAGTGTTCTGAGATGACAGCAGCTAATTTGTATGGGTACCATCTGTGAATATGTCTGCAGTTAGTCATGACTATACCGGGTCAAACTGAAGGGGTCAAATTAGTCTCACGATGACAAGACTGGTAATAGCCCTTCAGTCACACTGCAGTAACAAACAGCCCTGACTACTAATGAATAGAGAAAAAAAAATACTCTCAAAATACCTCACAATTATGTCAGTGCCTCTGCAGTTAACAATAATGAGGTAAAGGTCAGGTCGAACCATGATGAGTCAGAAAGAGTTCAGAGGAATAAGTGATCCCCATAAATCCCCTACCAAGTATCAATTATGATGACGGAAACTGGAATTCTTAACACGATTTTATCAAAGCTGACATGTTGTGACATTTAGGGGATGTAAAATTTGTGTTCTCATTATGTTTTTTTTTTTTTTTTACCCACAGCCAGTTCCTAGAAATTTTCTGTTCTTGATACATATTTATTCACTATGGGCCCAATTTTTAATTAGGAATATAAAGTCTTGCACCTCTATGGAAACAGCACAGATATGAGTAGAAGAACTCTAAAATGGGTAACACTTTATAATAGCTATCCGTTATAACCAGTTAATAGATTATTTGTAAAATGTTAATCAGTGAGTTATTAACCACTTGTTAAGTGTTTGTTAATAGTTTGTTGATGATTTATAACGATGCCTTATAGATAGTTAATAAACCATTTACAAACTGTTGCAACTTTAGAATAACGTCCCAATAACATATATAAACTATTAACTGACGCTTAACAAGTCATTAATAAGTAATTCACTAATGGCTTGTTCATGATCTATGACTGGTTTATAAGGTATGGCTGTAAATCATTAATATACCTAACACCTTTCCAAGTGGGCATCAATGTTAGAAATACTATGACAACAATATGGGCTCCACACACATTTTTACAACCTCTACAAACTGTTTTTTTCCACATAATTCTGCACATTGTCTCTAGAAAGATATTTCACTGTGCTGTATGTATCTTCTAACAACTTGCTTCTCTTTTTTATAATCCACACTCTATCTATTTCATTGCTCAGGTATGTTTTTCTAATTATTTTTTTCTCTCATTCTCTAATTTGTTCCCATTCTTTCCCATTCTATGCGCTGTGTAAGCACAGAAGTTTACCTGAAAACCCACAAACTGTGTTTTATGATTGTTGGACGTAGCTGAGTAATTAAGTTTTTCAGCTGCACCACAGAGAGCAGACTCTGGTTCATGCATCGGTTTATTTGTTGGTTAACAGGCTGACACATGTTCAGTTGATGTGTATAAGTGTAAATTTTCCACTTTTTCTCAGTGATCTTGATGGCTTCACCTCACTTCTTTTGATAAAATTGCCCTGCATCAGCATGAATATACAACAACACGACACAGTGCCCAAGGACTCCACAGCAATATATAGAAAGAAAAGCTTTTTCAAACATGGAGTGTAATTTGAAATGACTAGCTGAGGTACAACTGGATTGTAATCTGATTATTACTCCTCCGCACTTAAAAATATGCTAATTGGCAGTTTTAATTAAAACAGTGTCAAGATCACAATACTGCTATATGCTCTAACTGTACACATCTGACCTGAGAGGAAGGCGACCTTCTCCTTGAGGATGGGAAGCACGTCGATGGCTTTCATGTCCTCATTCCGATGAAACCCTGAAACACAGGAAAAGGCAGAGCGGTAAGAAGACGGGAGACTCACAATCAAAATCTTAGGATCAAAGTTATGGAAAATTTGAACTTTCTCACCAGTGTGGAGCTAAACTGACCAGACACACACACACACACACACCTTAGTTAAGCTTATGAAACATGTAATTGTCTCCAGCCTGCAAAAGACAGACAATCCACTTCTTTTTTTTTTGACATACTGTTTAAAAAGCAACATAAGCATTGTCAAACACTTCGGTAATACTATTCTTTACATAAAAATGCCACAAGCCGATGGTGGTGAATTGAATTAGTATCAGCGGACCAAAGTGCATGTGAGTTAATTGAATTGGTTACAGCTGAACAACGTGATTAACTGAGGCAAGTCAAGCGACTGGGTTGTTATTACTGGTAGCTCAGAAGCAATTAGATTGCCTGCACATCAGATTAATTACTAATAAAACTTTGTCTTTTATAGCTTCCAAAACGCTAGAAAAATGTAAAAAAATCGCATTCACTTTTTTTTTTTTTTTTAAGCTTGGTATAATGCTAATTTTCCACCACCGTCTTGCCTAGTCTGTTACGGTATGCTCCTCAAATGTCATCCCCTTTGCCTCGCCTCCTCAACAGATGGCACGCTGGGTGGGTAATACCACACACACACACACACACACACACACACACACCTAAACACACACACACACACACCTGACTTTTATCTATTGGGTGTGTGAGAGCAGCCACCAGTCATGAAGACAACTGATTCACATGGTCCACTGAAGAGAATAATGTACAGTTACTGATATAGTCAAATATCATTCCATATTTTCTTATTTGCCACAGTTTAGCGCAGCTGATAGTAACTGATAAGCGCATCTATTACTCAGAACAATGGCATTATTAAGGAGTGGGAAGCACAATAATGCGTGGCTGCGAGCTACAATGCCATAATCGGTAAAATAATAACGGTGCTGTAAATCAGCCGTGATGATATTGACCAGTGAATGTATGCATGTGAGGAGGTGGTGGCGGTGGAGCTCTCTGCAGATGCAGCTGATGTCATCGCATATTCCTCATCTAGCTGTGAGTCATCTCTTGCACATTTACACACAGACACACACACGACACTTCTATGCATAAACGCAGAGGCAATGCAAGGTATATGGTTAATCGTCTTCAATCCTAACACGGCATACATCATGGCTCTCATGTCTGACTGGTGGCGCAGACCTGCACACCGTGAAGGTAACACACAGCATCTCATAAAAAGCTCCAATAAGCTGCCGTTTGGAGGCTGTGTGTTGGTAAACAGAGCCGATGGGTCATAAAGGGAGACAAATACTCTGAGAGTTAAGAGCTAACAACTTTACACAAACACGGCACTGCTTTGACACTTATAATATAAATATTTAATCATACGGACCACGAATAGAAATTAGCTAATTAGATAGTGGCTAGACTGCTGAGTCCTGAATCATGCACTCACACACAAACCGAATGCCCTCCGATAAAAGTCAGTCATGATGCTAAATTCACTTTAAACTACACTATGAGCCATTATCTCCAGCTGGAGTAGCATTTGCAAAATTAGATTTTTTTTTTTTTTTTTCAGCCCACAGTTTGATAGGAGCTGTGAAATAAAATGAGAAGATATCACTAAACCTATGAATCCTTCCTCCTGGATACAACTGAGGTACAACCTGAGGAATTAAAGGGGGGAAAAGAAAAAAGACAAAGAGATAGATTGACAGACATAAAAGGGAGATTAAATTGGAGGGGACAGTCTTTTGAAGTGAAATGATAGGAACAGAGAAGCACAGGCTGATAATGACACGAGCGAGGAAGAATAGAGGGACAGTGAATGTAATAATACAGACAGAGGAGACTGCAGAAAAGACAGAGAGACAGCTAAATAACTCCTCCGGGTTTTAATGGCTCCTGTAATATCGATTTCAGCCACGGTCTGAGGGAGTTAGCAGCTGCAGTCAGGCCTGGGTGACGGCACATCAGCTCGCTGCGGGAACACTGGACGTTACCTGACTCACGACTAACGACGCTACCACCTGAGATAAGATGGGACTGACGTAGCAGTAATGGTTTCATTCTCCTTCCGCGGCCGGCGAGAGGAAAGACAGAGCCAAAGAGCTGAGTGCCTCTCTTGCCGCTCGCACTCATGGTCTTTATAATCTCCCTCTCCGTGACTGTCTGTCTCTTTATAACCTGCTGCACCTGTTTCTCATCTAGTCCCCTTTACCTCACACACACACATGAAGAACATGACTGAGCATGCAAACAGTGAGGGTTAAAACACAGACCTCCATCGCGTGTCTTCAAAAACAGTGCTTCAATGTACTGAAAATCAGCGCTACAGGGCACGAGGAGAAAGAAACAATACTGTTTAGCACATGTGTGTGTGTGTGTGTGTTTCCTGTGAAGTGTGCCCAGACACATTCCTCACTGTGGTGGTTTATGTAAGATACTGGCCCTGGCCCACAGCCAGCGCTGACCTCCGTTATACTGCCGCAGCCCTGCTAAAACTGGAGCTCTGCACCCTCTTTTGAACGCCACGTCTGGCAGAAAGCTGGACATACGTGCACTTTGGGTTTACGCAGAAGACTGTGGTGAGTTCGGAGCAGGCGTGGCTGCCGTGCGAGTTGTGCATCTTAATGCTGGAACACTGATTTTTGAAAATGAGGTTTGGAAATTCCATATCAGTGTTGCACGACTAGAAAAAAAAAAAACACATGGAGAACAACCAAACAGCTGGTGAAGAGCAAGTTGCTTCCACAGCATGATAGCCCATTACTTGACACAGTAAAATAGATGCCACAAATAATTTTATTCATGCTTATACACAGAAATAACCTATACAATATCCTAAAGAAATAAAGTAGTACCTTGCACACAGTGATTCATGGAAATCCCATTATCGCCTGCCGTTACACACGCTAACACACAATCTCTTCTCTTCACTACACACAACCCTTCATTTACAAGTCTGCCGAGCATGAAATAAAGCTTTTCAATCACAAACTGCGTTGTTCATAAGACACTCATAATGAGAGCAATCCATTTTACTGGCAGTGTGCACTCAGTGTCCTGTAAAATGAGGTGAAATGCACAGTGTTCGTCCATGAAATAAAGGTTTTTGCAGGGAGCTGCGTCGCAATTATTACATTGCAATTTAAAGCAGTTAAAAGAGGACGAGAAGCAGAGACCGTGGCGACATATGTCTGCTTAAATCATACATTATATACGGAGTGGAGCAGGAAACACAAGGTGATGACTGCAAGATGAGAAGATCAGCTGCACACATGACAGGTAGTGGATCATTTAGACGTCAGCAATGCATGTTGGTCTGTCACTCATGACTCACATACACACAAGCATGGCCATTCGCATGTGCACTCTCTCTCTCTTTCTGCACATTTAGTTACAGAGACATCTTGTGCAGCAATCCATCAAAGGAACACATAACACATGATATATGATAATGCTCCCGCCTGTCAGGTTCGCACCTTAAAATATACATGTGGTGCTATTTGTCTTTGTGACAATTTGCATTGACATTTCACATTTGTAATTTTCTGAAAGTGGTACTTCTTTGCATTTAATAGACAAGCAATAACAGATGAACAAATGGAAAGGGTCAAAACATGGACACAAATGGACACTAATGTTTCCCATAACTCTGTAAACTATGTCACCATGCGCTATCATTCATCAAGGCTCTGCACCTGACATGAGATGTACGTGCTTGTCCAATCACAGGTTTGCCCAACGAGGCTCTAATGCAAAGGGTTTTCTGTGCACGTTGATGGCAGAAAATTGTCAGTGTGTTTTCATGCAGCTGAAAGGTCAGCCAGCCCTTTCGGTTTAGCAGTTATATTCTAGTAAAGAAAACACAGAACCACAGAATACAGAGGTGAGGATACAAAATTGTAGCTTGCATTTAACTTCGAAGACCCGGAATGACTGTGCCTTAACGTGGGAGTGAGCAGTTTTATGTTTGGTTTTTAAAGTCATTTCTCAGTGTGTGTTTTTGCAAAGCTTTATACTGAAATCACTGTGGAAAAATAAATATCTCCCATGCAGCTACGAGTACATTGCGATTTCACTCCTGTTGCTCTGCATGAATTTGGAAAGCAAGCGGAGCGAGAGGTAGCGGCACAGATTCCCTATGCTCAGCCCTTCTTTTTGTCTTTATAACTCCACGAGGATTGCGCCCTAAATCCGTCAACTCACATAGCTGTGTAACAGAGGCGTGCCAATCCATTTCCTTTTTGCCCTAACTTCAGGGTGGAAACATACTGATCTGAATGCACTACTACAGAACGCATTGTTGTAAGTGTTGTACCGATTCTTCACACTACAGACTAAAATCATCCTCCTTTAGGATCTAAACTGGGTTACAAGCTTGTGTCTAGATGGCTTTAATGAGATGTAATGGGGAATGAATGCACTAAGTTTAGGTAAGAATGGAGAAAATGCACAAACCCCTCTAACCAAAATTGGAACGCATGCAGGGATAAAAACAACCAATTTCTTCACCTACAAGCATTGCAACCTCAACTCATAATCCAAAATGAGCCACAACTGCATATCTGCGTCGTCTTTCCACGGGGCGATGGAACACAAAGCCTCAGTGCACTAGGGCCCGATCCTTTTGATTCCAATCTTTCAGACCACAGGCTAGACTGTACATGGTGCATCTGGGCAGCCTGGCACGCCACATGATGCCAATCCTCTGGCTCATAACCTCGTAACCTCAAACTCAGACCAATTACAAGCTAGGCTGTGTGTGTGTGTGTGTGTGTGTGTGTGTGTGTGTAGTGCAGTGTGACAGAGCAGGCTTGCTATATAATACTGCAGAATTACTACAGTACAATTCCCCTGGCTGTTGTCCTGACCGTCGCAGCGCAAACTTGATAACACACGTTTCAGCTGCCAGCAAGGATAACCGGTGAAGATTCAGAGCCATTACTGAGAAGCATTTAATACCGATA